CACTGCGGGAATGAGGACTTTATAGCCAGGAGGAGGGCATGTTCTCGTGCGTGTCTGTTTCCTAGACCGGGTCCCGTCCAAGGTCAGGGACACGTCGCCTTGGCCGCCTCCAACCCGGGCGGGTCCCCGTCACTCTCCCTCCGGCACCCCCTGGACGGACACCTCGGGGGCGTGCAGGCTGGGCGCCCTCGGCTGCTCTGCCGCTTCCTCCTGGTGCGAGGCAGGTGGGGCCTGGGCGGCAGCGGCCCCGCCGGGCTGCCACGACAGGACGCCGGACGGAAACGGGGGCTGGAACGGATGCCGTCACCTGAGTTCTGGACGCTGAGAGGCACATCTTCGAGCGTCCAAATTTCCGCTTCTTACCGGGACCCCCGTCGGGTCGGAGGGGTTCCCGCCACCCCCATGGCCTCGTGTGAGCTCCATCACTGCTGAGCGCCCGTCTCCAGGAGGCTGCAGTCTGAGGCCGGGGCTCAGGGCTTCCGCATGTGCATGGGGGGCCGGGGTGGGGGTGGGGGCACAGGTGGGCTGCAGGGAGTGGGGACATGTTGGCCCCAGCACTTCCCACGGGGCTGTCCTGCGGCCGCCGACGGGAGTGGGGCCTGGGGTGAGGTGGGAGCCCCGTTTCTCTCTGTGAACACAGGACTTGGTGGGGGGCATTGCCACTGCTCCTCACAGCTGTCATTCCTCCTGTGTGCGTCCCTCTCTCCTGGGACCAGGGCTTCCTCGGACCCAGATGGGCGTTGGTGGGGGGCAGGGAGGCCGGTGGCCAGGGGAGCTGAGAGACCTGGAGTCCACGCTGCTCACTGCTCCAGAGGGAAGGCCCCCTCACCCCACACCCCCACCCCGCTCTGGGTCCGGAGCTCCGAGGAGAGGCGTGTCCGGCCCTCCTGGCGTCCGTCCATCCGTCCGTCCTCCACGTGGCGACAGTGGGCTCCCGCTGGCTGCGGTGCATGCTGGGGCGGCCGGTTCCCACGGTGGGAGCCCACAAAAATAAACACCACGCTGCTTCTTCGGAAAGCCCCGGGGCCTCGCATCTGGAGTGCGCGCTCCCGTCCGGTCACGTTCACCAGCGATGGGAGGACGGGAAACGGGCTGGAGGAGGGCCAGGAGTGAGGGTCTCCCCACCAGAAGGGGTGCCACTGGGAGAGTTGAAGGAGGGACAGAGGAGGGGGCTCAGAGGCAGAAGGCCTTGGTGGGGAGGGTCCCGGGGGAGGAGGGAGGCTGTGCCTGCCCAGCCAGGACTCGCCCTGGCTGGTTCTCCGTGGGAAGGGGGTCCTTCTTAGTCTGGAGGGCAGTCTGCACACCACCCCGCACTTGGGCGGGGGCTGCCGAGGGAGGAACCGTGCTTCGGGGCCGGGGAGGGAGGTGCCGAGGTCTCCTGGCCGGGCGGGCAGTGCCCGATCGGTGCTGGCAGCTCCCCCGCTGCCCTGGCCGGGGGGGGGCGGTCGGGAGGGGGGGGCTACAGGCGGGGCCTGTGGGAGGCAGAGCCCCTTGATGGAGGAGGACAGTCCGGGCCGAGGACTGGGACCATCAGCCTCTGCCCCGTCGGCCCTCGCGGCTCCCGCTAGGGGGCCCCAGCACAGGTCCTGTCACTCACGCTTCCCTCGGGACCGCGGGCTCCGGCTGTGGGCTCAGCTTGCTGAGTTGGGCCCACAGGGGCACCCTTAGCCCTGATGTGGGGGTGCTGAGTTCTCAACACGTTTCTGCTGTTGGTGGTGGTTTCCTTAGAGTGGAAGGGAGGGGAGAGGGGGAAAGAGAGGCACATTGATTGGTTGCCTCCCCCTCAGGCCCCCACTGGGGCCAGGGATCGAACTTGCAACCCAGGTACATACCCTTGACGGGGAATGGAGCCCAGGACTCCTTGGTGCACGGGCCAGGGCTCTAACCACTGGGCCGCTCTAACCACTGGGCCGCCGGCCAGGGCTTAGCCTGTGCCCCTGTATCTCCGGGCACTGAAAGTAGGGCCTGTGGCCCAGAAGCTTCGTCAGCCCCGGGGAGTAAAGACCGAGGACCCTTCAATGCACACGTCATAGTCCAGTCCTCACATCCTAGGGCATGTTACTTTATTTTTTAAAAATCGATCCGAGGGCATTCTAAATAAAAGCTATATTGTCCTCGCCCTATGCCTGTGCCCACTGCTCCTCCAGAGGGAAATAAAGGACTTGTATAAGCGCCTACTGTGTGCCAGCGCTTAGTGAGGGCACCTCCTGGCCCAGCCTCGAAGGCAGACACTGTCGCTCTGTTCACAAATGCCAAAAAGGGGCCCAGCAAGGGGCGTGCTCACCTCGGGGCAGGGCTGCAGGGGTGGGGCAGGCCGCCAGGCCCTGCGCTTCCCACTGCCCCGCCCTGCCTTCCTGGCCCCGGAGCCCTGGGGGCCCCTCCTGAGCCGGCACTGGAGCTGCCGGACCCCTCAGAGGAGCAGGGGCTCTCTGAGGATGCCCGGGTCCGAGAGGGCTGCCCAGGGCGGTGGGGTGGACAAGACACTCCTTCCTCCTGCCCTCCTCCATGCCGGCCACTCTCCACAGCGCCCCTGGGCCCCGCCGGGCAGCTCAGGAGGTTAGAGCTTCGTCCCGATGCGCCAAGGTTTCAGATTCGATCTCCGGCCAGGGCACATCCAAGCAGCAAACAGTGAACGCACATTGGTGCGTGGAACAACAGTCTCTCCCTCCCTCTCTGAAATCCATCAGTGAAAGCTGTTCAACAAGCACCTGCCTCTGCACATGGGCTCAGCCCGGCCACACACCTGTCTCCGCGGGCACGTGCACTGGCTTCTGTAGCGTCTCCTTTGTCTGGGGATGGGGGGGGGACGGGGGAGGGACACGGAGGGGGGGGGGGCGGGGGGGGACGGGGGAGGGACACGGAGGGAAGCGGGGCGGGGGGGAGACGGGGAGGGAGGGGAGCGGGGCTGCCAGCAGTCAGGTCCCTTCCCCATTGAGCAGATGAACGTTCCTGGAACACCTGTGACAACCGCTCTCCGAGATCCCCGCCTTCCCCGACCCCACCCCTAAACACACACACACACACACACACACACACACACACGCACGCACACACACGCACACACGCACACACACTCGGGCTGAGAGGATTTCCTCCCTCAGCCTCACTCACTGCCGCCTCCTAACAGCGTCGGCTGGCTGCCTCCAGGACTGCCTGCCTCAGGGCTGGGGCCGTGCCCCCCTCCCTGCTCCTCTGTGCCAGGTAAGAGGCGGAGGCAGGCTGGGCAGTGAGTGTCCTCTCTGGGCCCCTGAGAGGAGTTTCTCCGGGGGGAAGGCTGTCCCCGCCAGGAGGGCAGAGGCTGGGTTTGCAAAGACGGGAGGGGGCTTGCTGCTCAGAGGAGGGGCCGCGTCTCTCCAGCATTAACCGGGAGCACAGCAGTCTTAGGGTAGCAGACCATTCACCCGCCAGGATGTTGGGGCGTCGGGATGAGACCCAGGTCTCTGACCCCAAAGCTCATGTTCTCGGCTCCAGCCCCTAACAAGGCAGGGTCTGTGCTGGGCTCCCTCCGGGGCCGGAGGCGGGGCTGACAGCACAGCCTGCGGGCCCACCTGGCTGCTCCGGCCGAGGCTCTGCACCCCCAAGGACCGGGCCAGCAGCTGCTGGGCGGCGGGGGATGCCGCGGCGCAGAGGGGATGGCACGCCGCCCGCCGGCCGGCCGGCCGGGAGAGCCGGGCGCCGCACTGGCCCCAGGGCAAGCTGCTTCTCCGAGCCTCAGTTCCTCTTCCGAGAAGTGGGCCGCACAGGTCGCTGTGTGATTGCTCCACACACTGCCGCTCAGGAAGCGTGAATTCCCACAGGGAGCACGGCCCACAGCTGCCCACCACCTCCTTATCCCAGCGCCAGGGGCTCGCCGCCAGGAACATTCTAGACCTCACCCAGCAAAGGAATGTGGTCCCTGGCAAAGCGGGTGGGCCTTCTCATCCCAGCCAACGGGGTTTCCCCTGGGAAGAGGGATACCCTCCCCCCACTTCCTCCTCCCTCCTCTCACTCGGAGCCGGAGCCGAGGGAGAGGAAAGAAATCGGGCTGGGCGCTAGCCTGTCACTTCTCTTCTCGTCTGCACTGTTTGGGTGGCTTTGGGGCACGTTAAATGCTCCAGCCTTAGTTTTCTCATCTGCACAATGGGACGGGGAGAAGCAAGAGAGCGTCCGTGTAGGAAACCTACCAGAGTCCTGGAGTCCCCCCCCCGCCCCCCCCGCCCCCCCCCCCCCGCCACTGGCCCCGCCTCCTCCGCCCTCAGATGGTCAGGTCTCATCCTCGGAGGCCGGCTTCTCCAGCATCTGCGGCCTGAGCGCACCGCCCGGTGAATGAATGAGAGGGGTTTCCTGGGGCCGGCAGCCGCTGCCGCAGCTCCCACCGGGCGGGGGGAGGGGGGTTAGGGGGGCGCGTGCGCCCACGTGGGGGGGGGGCTTCTACTGGAGGCCCAGCAGGCAGGCAGTTCCTCCTGCTTAGTCCTCCCCTCTCTTATCTTAGTTCCTCTTCAGCCATCGGAGGAGGGGCTGGCTCCTTTATTTACTGTCAACACACCCAACCGGCTGCCACTGTGGGAGCAGAGGGCCCCAAGGAGACTCCGCAGAGGCAAGGTCAGAGGCTGCTGTGGGTGGGGGGACGGCATCCCTTAAAGGCACAGGCTCGGTCCCCCAGGCCCTCGGAATGCCCTGCCCTGAGGGGCTGCCTCAGCCTCTGGTTCTCTGGGGTCAGGGAAAGGGGTCCTGCGGGCCGGACCTTGTTCCCAGGTCTCCGTGTGAGCTTGGGCCAGCTGCTTAATGACGACCAGGCTGCCCCGTTCCACACGCTTCTGTATGTGAGCTCATCCACTCCCACCCCCTGAGCGAGGTCACGTTAAGCCTGGCATGCACGTTGCGCGGAGGGAGGCGGAGGGCTCGCCCCAGGCTGTGCGGTCAGCGTAGGGAGCTGGGAAGTCACTGGTCACTTCCGATTCCCAGGGTCCTCGCCAATCCCATTCTGAGTCAGATCCCCGTCTCCTGGCCGGGGCCCCCTGTCGCCCAGCCCTGCCCACCTCCGTGCCTGCTTCTCCCCAGGGCGGTGCCCAGCATGTCGGCCAACGTGACGGCGAGGCCGCTGTGCCCGCTCCTGGAGCACATGAGCCGCCTGCAGGGCCACGGCAACTCGAGCATCCGCTACATGGACCACGCGTCCGTGGTGCTGCACGGGCTGGCCGCGCTGCTGGGCCTGGCGGAGAACGGGCTGGTGCTCTTCCTGGTGGGCTGCCGCATGCGCCAGACAGTGGTCACCACCTGGGTGCTGCACCTGGCGCTGTCCGACCTGCTGGCCGCCGCCAGCCTGCCCTTCTTCACCTACTTCCTGGCCGTGGGCCACTCGTGGGAGCTGGGCACCACCTTCTGCAAGCTGCACTCGTCCGTCTTCTTCCTCAACATGTTCGCCAGCGGCTTCCTGCTCAGCGCCATCAGCCTGGACCGCTGCCTGCAGGCGCTGCGGCCCGTGTGGGCGCAGAACCACCGCACCGTGGCGGCCGCCCACAGGGTGTGCCTGGCGCTCTGGGCGCTGGCGGCGCTCAACACGGTGCCCTACTACGTGTTCCGGGACACCATCCCGCGGCGGGACGGCCGCATCATGTGCTACTACAACCTGCTGCTGCTGAGCCCTGGGCCCGACCGCGACGCCACGTGCCACGCGCGCCAGGTGGGGCTGGCGGTCAGCAAGTTCCTGCTGGCCTTCCTGGCGCCGCTGGCCGTCATCGCCGCCAGCCACCTGGCCGTGAGCGCGCGCCTGCGCCACCGCGGCCGCCCGCGCTCCGGCCGCTTCGTGCGCCTCGTGGCGGCCGTGGTGGCGGCCTTCGCGCTCTGCTGGGGGCCCTACCACGTCTTCAGCCTCCTGGAGGTGCGCGCGCACGGCCAGCCCGCGCTGCGGCCGCTCGTGTGGCGCGGGCTGCCCTTCGTCACCAGCCTGGCCTTCTTCAACAGCGTGCTCAACCCGCTGCTCTACGTGCTCACCTGCCCCGACATGCTGCGCAAGCTGCGGCGCTCGCTGCGGAGCGTGCTGGAGAGCGTGCTGGTGGAGGACGAGCTGGCCGGCAGCCTGCGCCGCGCCTCCTCCGCCGCCGCCGCCCCCGCGCCCCGGCCCGCGCGCCTGCTGGGCTGGCTGCGGGGGGGCCGCGCGGCGCCGCCCGCCAAGGGCCGGGGGTCCCGGGAGGAGGAGGGCCCCCTGAACCGGGCGCTGAGCAACACCTCCAGCTAGAGGCGCGGCCGGCACCGCCGTCCCCCCAGCGCAGGCACCGTGTTAGAATGTAGATCCCCGGCGCGGCCTCGGAGAGCGGGTCCCAGGGGCCGGCCCGGGGATCTGCATTTTAAAGTGCCTGCGGACCCAGTGAAGCCCTTTCCGCAAGTTAAAGCCACCGCACACCTCCCTGGGCGCGCCGCCGGGGGGCCTCCGTGCAGTCTGCCAGCTGCAGGCGGGCGAGGAGCCGGGACCTGCATGGCTAAGCCCTGCCCCGAGGCCATGTCCACCCGGCGCCGCTGGGCCACCCACCACATAGGTGACCCAAGCCCTCATACTGGGGCAGCGGCGCCGTAAGGCACACTGGACGCATCTCCTTGGGGCCCAACTTTACCAGATTGGGGGTGGGGGGTTGGGGATGAGAAATGGTTTTTTTACAGAAACTAGTGATGTGGTTTTTGGAGTAGAGAAGTGAGGAAGGTTGGGGAGTACTGTTCCAGTCCAGGGCAATGGTGATTGAGCCGGACACTCTGCCCACATTCGGGAGGGACAGGTCCTTTTAGGCAGTTGCTACAGATGAACAAATGGAGGTGCAGGGAGGTCAGCGACAGGCCCAGAGCAGGGTTTGCCAGCTGACCGCGGAGCATCATTGCTCGGTTACTGTTTGGTGAAAGCACAGCCGGCACCCCATTAATGGACACGCTGACTGGGGCCCCTCTCCCCGCGCTGGCCCAGCACCGAGCATTTACAGGTGGGAGAGCAAAGGGGTGCCATAGTCAAGTGTTTGGGAAATGAGGCTAGTTAGCCATAGTGCAGTGGGTGCCAGTCTTCCGTGTTTCCATGGGGACAGCAGCTGCCGAGGTCACAGCCGTTATTTCCTAGCTAGTGCGACACCTTTGGGTGCCCAGTGTCCCATGGCACACCGCATGGCAATGCTGGTCACCCCAAGATCCTTGCAGCGCCCACCTCTGACCACTCAGGGGCTCGTACCCCAGGGGGGTGGGGGGAATAGCAGGTCTCCCTCCTCTGCCTGCCGAGGACTTGAGGGGAGACTGTGCGTTCAGCTCTGCACCTGGCAGAGCTGGTGCCGGTGCTTGGTGGGCAAAGGGTTTGTGGAAGGGCCAGTGCTCCCTGGGCCACCCGGCGGGTCCCTGGAGTCGGGCAGGCAGGTGTGCTGCCCAGGACCAGGCAGGGCAGCCCACAGCCGGAGCCCGGCAAACTGCAGCCGCTGGAAGCCGAGGAGCAGCCAGCCATAGAACCCCTCGCCCAATCTCCCCCTCTCCCCCCCCCATAATCACCACACTGCTGCCACCGCCGCGTGATCCACTCGTTTATTGTCTCCTCCCCGGAGTGAGAGCTCCCCGGCACCTGTCTCTGCCTGTATACAGCAGGTGCTCAATAAATACGCTTGTAGCCTGGATGGGCATGAGTTCGGCACATCTTTGGGGCTTCTGCGGAGGCTGGTACCGGAGAGGGGGCTGGAGGGGAACCCCGCCACCTCCCGTCTTCACCCTTCAGTGCTGAAAGTGGGTGGAGCTGGGCTCAGTGGGTGCAGAGGTGCCCAGAGCGGCTCGGGAAGGGATGGGGAGCTGGGTTCTCCCTGCGGCCTCCTGGTCTGGGAGGGCCCGGACCTTGACCCAGAACATGCACATTTGGAGGGTCACCCTTCAGCTCCCTCAGGAGGCAGAAGAATGGCTCTCCTGAGCTTGAAGGCACTTGGGGAAGGAGCAGGGGTGGGTGGGGAGGGAAGAAGGGGGGCCGCTGGGAAGCTGATCCTCCCCTGGCCCTGCCCCCAACCTCTGCCAGGGCCCGGCTCCCTCCAGAGACATGCCCGGCCGGGAACTCAGGGCCCACTGGAGCGGCTTCCTCTCCCGGGCCAGAGGAGTGCGGCCCGGCAGGGGTGTGTGTGTGTGTGTGTGTGTGTGTGTGTGTGTGTGTGTGACGGCACGTGCCCGCTCCAGGCTCGCTGTCCGGCTCAGTCCTGGGCCGCCGGCCGGGGCAGCTGCTGCAGCAGGGCCAGCGTGTCCCGCTTCTGGATGGAGCGCAGCTGCTTCTTCTTCGCCCGCTTCAGCTTGGCGGGGTTTCGGATCTGGGGGTGAAAAGGCAGAGCAGCGATGAGGCTGGCGTCTCCCCTGCTCCCCGGGAAGAGGGAGGCCTGGGATGGCGGCAGGGGAGGGCAGGAGGCAGGGCCCAGCGCTCACCACTTGGACGACCTCGGCCTTGCGCTCGTTCTCCAGGCGGCGCTGCAGGTTCTCGGCGCGGCGCTGCTTCCTCTCCTGGGTGCACAGAGCGGGGAGGGAACACGGGTCCGGGTGAGGCAGCCCGTCTCTCAGGCCCCCAAGGGAGCACTGGCAGTTCCTGGGGAGGAGGGCAGGGCCTCGCCTCCCGGGCCCTGGTGGGGGGCAGGTGGAGGGCCACCGTGGGGGAAGGTCCTGGCTCCGCCTGAGAAGGTGGGCACCTGAGAGGCAGCTGAGGACAGAGGCTTGGGCGGGGCTGCGGGGACGCAGGCACATGTAGACAGAGGCCCCTGGGGGGGTGTCTCCTCACCCCCACCCTCTGCCCAGAAGTCCAGGTGCCCAGGTGCGGGGCTGGGAAAGATGGAGGCCACAGCAAAAAGGCTTTGGTTCGAATCCTGGCTCGGCTACTTCTTAAGGGGTGACCTTGGCCAAGGAGTTCACCTCTGTGCTTCACCCAATCTTTACAAAGAGAACGCCCCCCTAAGCTTGTTTGGAGGAACGAGGAGAGGCACAGAGTTGGCCAGTGTGAGCCGGCCATGGGAATGCCCAGAGGGATGGAGGGGGACTGTTGGGAGCGGAAGCCCATTTGCTGGGTGCCGTCCCTGCTAGGCGGGGCGGAGGCGGGGGCGTCCAGGCTGCTGCACGGCCAGGGGCCCACCTGGCTTTGGGAATTGAGTGGGCAGGCGTGGCCTGGGCCTGGTAAGAAATGAGAAGTGAGACCTGGGCTCCCAGGCAGGAGGCCTCTTGCACAACAAGGAGCAGCTGCTAGGAAGTGAGATAAGGCCTCCACGCAGGGGACAGCCGCTCCTTCTAAGGACCTCGGCACTGGGGCACCCGAATCCGGGACAGACGACTGATGGGCCCCGAGTGATGGGCTCCCCCCCACTCTGAGACAGGCGGGTCCGGAGCTTGGGTCAGGCATTCATTCCTCCGGGGCCCTGGGATCACCAGATGGCGGGTCCCCAGGCAGCCCGGGTCCCCTGAGCGTCACTGGCCCACATCAGGCCTCACTTTCTCTGTGCGGCCGCTGGGGTTTCCCCCTCCCTGGGCCGCAGAGCCAGGGCTACACTGGACCTCCCTCCACCTTCCCTGCCCCATGGTCCCAGACTGCACTGCTCCAGCCAGCACCCCCCTTGCCCCCCTCCCAGCAGACACCCCCTCCAGCAGACACACCCCCTCCAGCAGACACCCCCCTCCCAGCAGACACACACCCCAGCAGACACCCCCCCAGCAGACACCCTCTCCCAGCAGACACCCCCCTCCCAGCAGACACACCCTCCCAGCAGACACCCCCTCCAGCAGACACCCCCTCCCAGCAGACACCCCCTCCAGCAGACACCCCCTCCCAGCAGACACCCCCTCCCAGCAGACACCCCTCCTCCCAGCAGACACACCCCCTCCAGCAGACACCCCCCCCCAGCAGACACCCCCCCAGCAGACACCCTCTCCCAGCAGACACCCCCCTCCCAGCAGACACACCCTCCCAGCAGACACCCCCTCCAGCAGACACCCCCTCCAGCAGACACCCCCTCCAGCAGACACCCCCTCCCAGCAGACACCCCCTCCCAGCAGACACCTCTCCTCCCAGCAGACACACCCCCTCCAGCAGACACCCCCCCCAGCAGACACCCCCCCCAGCAGACACCCCTCCTCCCAGCAGACACACCCCCTCCAGCAGACACCCCCCCCAGCAGACACCCCCCCCAGCAGACACCCCCCCCAGCAGACACCCCCCCCCAGCAGACACCCCCCCCAGCAGACACGCCCCCCAGCAGACACTCCCCCCCCAGCAGACACCCCCCCCCCAGCAGACACCTGCTCCCAGCAGACGCCGGTTCTGCCCTCACCTGCCGGCGCCGCTCCTTTTCCTCCTCCAGGTGCCGTGCGAAGTCCCGGGCCAGCTTCCTCTCCTGCCGCTCCTTCATCTTCTGCTGCCAGGAGGTGCGCAGGGGCTTGTCCTGCACCATCTGGGAGAACCTGGGGGGGGGGGGGGGGGCTTGTGGGGTCCTGTGCTGCACCCGGCTTCTCCCCTAGCTCCGGCTCTTTCCTCCAACCCGGTCAGAACCACCTCCCACTGCCTGCGTGTGGGCAGTCACCCCCAGGTCACAGACCCGGGCTCCCCTCCACTGCCTGCCGTGTCCTAAGCCTCTAAGGTGGGGCTCCAGTTCTGTCCGTTCCAGAGGAGCAAGCCCAGCCCCCAGCCCCCATTCCCGAATCCCTGCTGGTGGCCCCTGAGACCAGGCACCAGCCTCCGCCACGAAGCCCTGCTGCTCTCCCCAAGCACAGCGGCCGGCGGGCAGGAACGCGGGAGGGCTCCTCCCTCCCGGGGCGGTCTGGAGGGCACGCTGTCAGGATCCGGAACCCCTCTCCAGGAGAAGTGACAGCGCGGCGGCTCGAGGTAAACACAGGAGGGAGATGGCCTCTGGGCCAAGGCTCACACAAGGTGCCAGGACACGCAGGTCGGGGTCTGCCCGGAGCTGAGAGCCGTCCCGGGGAGGGTCAGCACAGCTCTTCTGGGCCATCTCCTCCCGCCTTGCTCCCCGGAGTCCGGCACTCAGTCTGTACCTTCACCCAACTGCCCGACTCTGCCTGGTTCTGTCCTGCTCTCCCCCCACCCCATCCCCGGGCCTGCCTCTGACCCCAGCATGCCCCCCACTGCTCCTTCTCCCTCCGCCGCCGGGCAGGGGACCTGGGCGCAGCCAGAGCAGCGCTCCAGCAGAACTTCCCACCGCGGTAGCCATGCTCCACGTTCACGCTGTTCAACCCGACACCAGCACTCACACTGGTGGCCGAGCACCTGACCTGTGCTTGGTGTGACCGAGGGAATTAATTTTTAACTTTAACTTTAATCCACATAAATTTAAACGGCTAAGGCCTGGGCAGTGCAGTTCCAGAGCATCGCTCTGCCTGGAGATGGGAGGCGGCCTGGGTTTTGAGACCTAAATCCGCCCTGTGTGTCAACGCACAAGGCAGCTGGGCTTCAGTTAAAGGAGACGAGAACTGTTCCCATCCGAAGGCTGGCGGGAGGTCCCCTGAGACAGAGCTGCAGAAGTCCTCAGCACAGGGCTCTGCACACAGTAGGTGCTCAATAAACACCACCCTTCAGAGGAGGCACCGGGCCCGTCCATGGAGCCCTGTGCAGAAGGGGGCATTTGGCACGAGAGCAGGGAGCCAGGCCTCCAGCAGCCACTGCTGCCCCCACACCCCGTTAGCTGACACCTGGAGCGGTGCTGTCTGGTTCCTGGGCTCACTGGCCAGCCCCTGAGCTGCTTCCTCCAAGGCCCCCAACATCAACTCTGTGACCTTTGGCCCTCACCCCCAGACCTGCCTGCAGCCCCTGAAGGTGTTTTAACGCTGGAGCAACAGTCTCCTGACCGGGTTCTCTTTCACCCCGACCGCCTGCGGTCTGCGCACCCCCGGTTTCTCTGCAGAGCCCCGTTTCCTCACATGCAACATGAGGCTAAATCGGCTGCCTCCCAGGACTCATGTGTAGAGCAAACCCGGGTGCATGCTGGTCCCTGTTTGAAGGCTCATCCTCGCCAATGCTTAGCCTGTCCAATGTCCTGTGTTGGTAACACTGTCTCACAGAGACAGATCATGTCACAGATCATGGGTGAACACAGACCTCACGGCTCCAGCTGCAGTGCTGCTGACCTACTTCCCCTTCCTCATGGGGCGGGCAGACAGGGGTAAATGCACTCACAGTGGGGTGCTGTAGGGAGGTCCACAGGGACCCGGGAAAGCAGCACGGAACAGCCGAGCTGTCACTCTCCTGGGGTCCTAGGGCACCTACCACCTCCGGAAGATAATCGCCCGTTACTGTGAGCTCTGTCCAACCCGGAGGCTGCCTGCAGGCTGCGCCGGGGCCCGCCCCCCGAGACCCCGCCAAGCCCGGCCGCCCCTCCCTCTTTACCTCTTCTTGGCGCGGTCCTTCCACACCCGCCCCGACTTGGGCTTTCCCTTCGGGATTAACGGAACCGCCACCTCCTCCTCCAGCTTCTTGGACGCCGGGGCCCGTGGTAGAGACCCTTTTCGCTTCTTTGGGCAAAGGCCACCTCTCCCCGGCTCCCGGGCCGGAGGCGGCTGGCTCGGCAGGTGCGGGCCGGGGGCGGAGCCGGGTGGCGGGGGTGCGGGCTCCTGCAGCGGCGGCGAGGGCTCCGGGCCCGGCGCTGGCTGTCCGGGGTGGGGTTCGGGTGACCCGGGGCCCGGCGGCTGGGCCAGATCCTCCGCAGTCGGGGCCAACTTCGGGCTCGGCTCTCCGCGGCTCTGGACGGCCTGCGGGGACCCCCCTCCTGGCCCGGGCTCACGTCGGGGGCGCTCCGGACTCGACGCTGGCTGTCTTCGGGGAGACTCCAGGCCTGGCTCTTGCTGACCCTGGGGGGACCCCGGGTCCGGACCCGGCTCCCTCCGGGGGAACTCCAGGCCTGGCTCTTGCTGACCCTGGGGGGACCCCGGGTCCGGACCCGGCTCCCTCCGGGGGGACCCCAGGCCTGGCTCTTGCTGACCCTGGGGGGACCCCGGGCCTACCCCCTGCCCCAGCCTGGGCGATCCCGGGCGTGTCTCCGGCTGGCGTCCGGGGGAATCCAGGCCGGGCGGCCGCACAGGCCGCGGAGACGCGGGCTCCCTCGGTTCCTCTGGGTTCGACTCGAATCCCGCAAGCGCTCGCCTCGCCCGCAGAACCGCGGTGGGGCTCCCGGGAGACTCCGCCTTCAGGCCTCCCAGCCGCCGGCTGCGCCTCCGAGGGGTGTCCATGGCCCGGCCCGGAAACCTCCCCAACCCGAGCGCACGTGCGGGCTCCGGGGCGGCCGGCGCCGTCCTATGACGTCAGGAGCCGCCACGTTCGTGCTGGGCAGAAGCGTCCGTAGCCAGGGCGGCCATGTTGGTTGTCGGCGGGGGGCGGGGCTTACTAGGCGCATGCGCCGAGCGTTGGGCCGCCTGGCTGTGATGGAGCTCCAGCTTGAGGTCGCCTGCTGTCTTCAGAAGGGAAGGGAGAGCGCAGGCAGGGACGGGCAGGGAGACCCCTTTCCTGGAGAGAAGAGAACCGGAAAGGATCCAGGGAGCCCGTAGGCACAGCTATTATAGATGGACACGTTGCTGCTCACCCTCCCTGGGCCTCAGTTTTTCGTGTGGGTGGTCTTTCCCTGGTTTAGTGCATCTAAACTAAGGTGACCAGACGTCCGCTTTTGGCGGGACAGATTGTTGAAAATAGGGACGTCTGGTCACCTTAATCTAAACGGACCCTGTCGGAGCCCTCCTCCCCGCCCGAGTGACAGGGCAGACCTGGCAGGTCCTGGAGGCGGGAGATCTCTTAAATCTTTTTATTTTATTTTTATATTTTATTGATTTTGTACAGAGAGGAAGGGAGAGAGATAGAGAGTTAGAAACATCGATGAGAGAGAGTCATCGATCAGCTGCCTCTTGCACACCCCCTACTGGGGATATGCCCGCAACCAAGGTACATGCCCTTGACCGGAATCGAACCCAGGACCCTTCAGTCCCCAAGCCGACGCTCTATCCATTGAACCAAACCGGTTTCGGCTCTTAAATCTTTTTTTAAAAAATTATTTTTAATATATTTTTATTGATTTCAGAGAGGAAGGGAGAGGGACAGAAAGAAACATAAATGATGAAAGAGAATCATGGATCGGCTGCCTCCTGCACAACCCCCACTGGGGATCAAGCCCACAACCCGGGCATGTGCCCTTGACCTGGGACCTTTCAGTTTGCAGGCCAACGCTCTGTCCACTGAGCCAAACCGGCTAAGCTCTCTTAGTCTTGAGTTACGGGTTAAATGTGCATGCCTTGCCGAAACCGGTTTGGCTCAGTGTATAAAGCGTCGGCCTGCGGACTGTAAGGTCCCAGGTTCGATTCCAATCAAGGGCATGTACCTTGGTTGCGGGCACATCCCCACCAGGGGGTGTGCAAGAGGCAGCTGATCGATGATTTTCTCTCATCGATGTTTCTAACTCTATTCCTCTCTCTTCCTCTCTGTAAAAAATCAATAAAATATATTTTAAAAAATAAATAAAAAATAAATGTGCATGCCTTGCCTTCTCTTCTCCCGCCCTGAGCTGAAGTATACAATGTATGCCTCTCTCCCTGACTGGTCTGGCTAAGGGTTAGAACATCCGCCTGCGGACTGAAGGGTCCTGGGTTGATTCTAGTAAAGGTCACGTGCCCCGTTGGGTGGCATCAACCAGTAGGGGACATGCAAGAGGCAGCCCACCCATGACTCTCATCATGAATGTTTCTCTCCCTCTCCCTTCCTCTCTGAAATTAATACAAATATATTTTAAAAAATAAATAAAACTTATGGCTCTCCCTTTTCAGCATTTGCAACATCTCTGGGTAGGGTTGAGGCACTGGTAAGATGCACCCCTTTGCCCTGGCTCACCTGGGCCTTCAGCCAGGCTACACGCCCTCAGGTGCCCCTTCTGCCCGTTCCAGCATCAGGGTGGATGGCCATTGAGCTTCCTCTCAGCCAGCGGCCTGCCCAGGGTCAGACCTGCTCCTCCCCGTTGGCAGCGAAGTCTTGCTGAGGAAGAACATTCGGAAGTTGCCCACCGTATCCCAGCTCTTCCCAGGGCTGTCCTTGGCCGCCTGGGCATGGCTTCTGGGACCCAGGGCTCCTGGCCCTGGCCCGCGGCTTCTTTCAGAAACCATTGTTTCTCTCCGGGAGAGCTGGGAGGGGGCCTGGGAAGTTATCCAAGGATGCGCTCCCAGCCCCCACCTCCCCGCAGAGGCAAAGGGCAGGGCCCAGCACAGCTCCCACCTGCCGGGTTATCTGCAGGGGCTGAGGGAGCCCAGCCCGTCCTGACAGCTGGTCAAGGAGATGAGGAGGCTCAGGGAAGGGTCCTGAGGAGGAAGTAGGCTGGGAATCCCTAAGCCACCCCCTCCCCTCCTTCCACTCTCCCCAGCAGGGGACCCCATGAAGTCACCTCCCAAGGGTAAGGGGGGCAGGTCTCTCCAACGCCCCTCCCTGCCATCGGAGTGACTGCGCCCCGAGCTGCTCGGCTAGTCCCTGGCTCCCTGGCCCCTCTGTGGACTCCGTGCCCTCCGGATCCTGGGCGGGGCGGGCCCCGCAGGGAGGCTTTGCCTCGGCCCCCGCCCCACCGGGCGCTCCCGTGCCCACTGCAGAACAGCCTGGCGGGTCCTTGCCCAGCTCCTCCAGCCCCAGCTCTCGGTTCCTTACAGTCCTGCACCTGCCGGAGACCCCTAAGGCCAGCCACGCCCAGCACGTGTGACTGGACTGGACACCACCCCCATCCACCCACCCAGCCTCTGCCCCCGTCAGGCCCCGCTCCCTGCTGCTGGGCTCCTCCGCTGCCCCAGCCCCAGCCCTGCTCAAGCACCTTAGAGGGCAATCCGGGCGCCTTCCAGGGCTGTGAGGGGAGGTGTCTCACAGACGGGGCCCTTGGTGTCCCTCGCATCTGGTGAAGCCCCACTGTCAACCCAGGCACTGGTGACCTCCGGCCCAGGGCGCTCGACTCTGGCCCGAGCTGTGTGCAGGCCTGGGAGACGCTGACCGCTGACCACCTCAGGAAGGCTGGCGTGGCGGTCACTGCTGGGACTCTGGCCACCCCTCCTTCCCTCCCCTCCTCTGCTGTCCACACGAGCACCCCGCCCTCCTAGGAAGGGTCCTGGGTGTGGGATCCCTTATCACATCCCACGTGGTTCAGGATTCCTGTTCAGAGTCCGAAGGCCGCACACAAATTAAAAGAGACTGGAAAAGAGTTAATTTGGGAAAGTGGGGAGCCAGGTGGGAGTCCACCTCTAGGGGGAGGACTACTGCCAGGCTCTGGCCTTGCTACCCCTTTTATTGAGGCTGCTATGGGATCCACCCATTACCCTTAAGCAGGTTTGGGATACGCCCATAGCCCTTAGGCAAGTAATAGGCGGGTTATCATATCAGTAGGGATTTACATGATTATTTGATGGGGAAGTTGACTCTGATGCCATTTTCTCAATTAGATAAGGAGTGGTTGGCTCTGACTTTTAGCAGTGTTTCCCAAATTTCTCTTAGAGCACTAGTTATGTATACAATTTTACCTATATGTTCCCAAACATTCTAGTCGTATGTTCAACAACTCCACCAGGTGATTCTCATCATGAGAGAAGTTTGGGAAAACACTGCTCTAGAGCTTCAAGATTGACCAGCCTTCCACATCTTTCTATTAGTGAGACCAGGATCGGTTTCCGGCCCCTGGGGTCCCCACTGAGAGCCCCGAGAGCCCAGCCTGCCTGCGAGCTCACCTGCCACTCCTGTGCCTTTAGCTTCCTCCTGTTCCCGCCTCACTGCTCACTGTAGGTGCTGCCGGGGTCATTCTGTGAGCAGACTGTTTGCACTTCAATCCTGGTCTCAGCCCTGCCTGGAGGGACCCGCAGCTCCCCAGCTGCAGGCCAGAGCAGCTGCCCCACCCCCAGGTCAGCCTGGGCCCTTCCTGCTGACCTCACGGCACCAGTGAAGAGGCTGGGGGTGCAAACTGGCCGTTTTCCCTAAGGCAGTGGTCGTGGTCGGCAAACTCTTTAGTCAACAGAGCCAGATGTCAGTGGGCGCTATTGGTATTCCTCCATTTCAGAGAGGCCGGGACCCTTGTAAAGGTCACACAGCAAACAGATGGTAGATTAGGATCCACGACTTTTTTTTTCTTTCTTTTTAATTCATTTCAGAGAGGAAGGGGGAGGGAGAGGGGGAGAGAAGCATCCATAATGAGAGAGAATCATTGACAGGCTGCCTCCTGCACGCCCCCTACTGGGGATGGAGCCCACAACCTGGCCTGTGCCCCGACCGGGAATCGAACCTGGACCTCCTGGTTCATAAGTCCACGCTCAACCCCTGGGCAGGCTCTACTCCATGATTCCTTTCGTATCCGTGCGGCCCGACCCCGAGCCAATAGAAACCCTTGGCCTGGTCCCAGCCCCACCCCCCAGCCCTGAGCTGTGGGTCTTTCTGAAAGCACGTGTTGTCACCTGCCCCCTGCGTGTTGTCCTGGCCTCTTTGGAGTCCACCCCCAGGCGTGTGTGAGCACCCCCTTCAGGGGCCTAGCGGCAGGCAGGCCTGCCAGAACCTGCGGGTCATCGCCCGGGTCTTATCCCACACTGATCTGGAAGGTTCCCCTTTCCTTCATGCTCCCTGCGCTTAGAGGTCTCGGGTCCCACAGAGGGGGGCGGAGACCTCAGCTCAGGCCTGGGTGAGCCCGAAGGTCCCGCTGTCCAGGGCGTGGCCAGGGAACAGGGAAGCTGGCAGCTGTGCACCTGCTGAGCCCATCCCCTGACCCCTCGGGCAGCTGCAGGCTTTGCTGACACAGGAAAGGGCCAAACCAGCTTCCCTCCTCCCCTCCCAACAAGATCTCCCCCGTCCTGGGGCCTCCGAGGTCGTCTCCCTCCGCTGTGTGTCCCCTGCTCAGGCAGGCCAGGGAAGGGGTGGGTGGACCAGGGAGGGAATGTTCCTCATATATATATATATTTATTTCAGAGAGGAAGGAAGAGGGAGAGAGAGAGAGAGAGAGAGAAAACGGAACATCAACGATGCGAGAGAATCATGGACGACTGCCTCCTGCACGCCCCACGCTGGGGATCAAGCCAGCAGCCCTGGCACGTGCCCTGACTGGGAATTGAATCATGACCTCCTGGGTCACAGGCCGACTCTCAACTACCGAGCCACGCCGGCCCGGCAGGAACCATGTATCGCAAACTTTGTTAGCCATCAGCATTCGGAGAGCCTACTGAGACAGATCCCGGGCCCGCCCGAGCGCGGGCTCAGGGTGTGGCCTGGGGCCCAGACACTGCTGTACTGACCAGCCTCCGGGGGATGCTGGCCCGCGGCCCCCACCTGCAGGCGCCGTGCGTGGGGCCCACGCTGGGCAGCGGCCCAGCTCGCTCTCGCTCATTTATCCACCGAATGTTTATCGGCTGTTTGTCCCGAGAGGCCCTGGAGCCCAGCAGGGACCTGGCGGTGCTGGCCCCGCCTCGGTGGCTCTACACTGTCCCTGGAGGATGCTGAGCTGAGCGGGAATCATGTCCTCTGTCCTGCAGGCGGGAGAGGAGTGGAGAGGCGGCCTGGCTTGCTGAGGGTCTTCTCACGGGGCCTCAGGACCCTCCGGCTCCCCGGCTGCAGGCCCACAAAGGCCAAGGGAACTCAGGACATCCCGCCGTGAACTCTGCTGCCAGCCCTGGCTGTGCGCAGCTGGCTCCGGGGCGTGGGTTTAGGTGGCAGAGCTACCTCCCTGGACACAGGTCCGTGGTGACAGCTGGAGCTCCATCCTGGGCCTGGAAGCAGCTCTTGACAGACAGGTCAGCAGGCACCGCCCTCCGCCCACGTCCACAGACCACTTTCAGTTCCTAAGGTGGCAGTTGTGCAGCGAGCCACAGCCTCTCCCTTCCTCTGAGGCCCCTCCGCCCTGCCCTGCCCTCCCTGGCACCTGGCTCTTCACCATCGGACCCCTCCGCCCTGCCCTGCCCTCCCTGGCACCTGGCTCTTCACCGCCGGACCCCTCCGCCCTGCCCTGCCCTCCCTGGCACCTGGCTCTTCACCGCCGGGCCCCTCCGCCCTGCCCTGCCCTCCCTGGCACCTGGCTCTTTACCATCGGACCCCTCCACCCTGCCCTGCCCTCCCTGGCACCTGGCTCTTCACTGCCGGACCCCTCCGCCCTGCCCTGCCCTCCCTGGCACCTGGCTCTTCACCGCCGGACCCCTCCGCCCTGCCCTGCCCTCCCTGGCACCTGGCTCTTCACTGCCGGACCCCTCCGCCCTGCCCTGCCCTCCCTGGCACCTGGCTCTTCACCGCCGGGCCCCTCCAGGGGCGGGGTGGGCACCATCCGCTCCATGGCAGCCCCTGGAGAAGGCCTCTGGGAGCCGGAACGGGAGGAGCCGCTGGCCTGCAGCACAGCGGGGTGAGGGGGCCGAGGGTCGGGGCAGCCTCTGCTGCCAGGGGGCAGGGCGCCCCGTTCTCTCCGCCTCATGCTCCGGGGGCGGGGGGACTGGCCCCTCATCCGACTGAGCACTGAGATGGGTTTTCCTCTGATCCAACGCGTTCCTTCTTGGTTCTCCGTGTGGGGCCTCGGGACCCTCAGTCCCAGCTGCAGGCCAGGGCAGCCGCCCGTCCCCAGACCAGCAGGCCCTTCCTGCCGACCCCATGCCCGAGGCTGCTCCAGAGAGCAGACAGGCCGTGTCCCCTAAGCCAGTGGTCGGCAAACTCTTTAGTCCCCAGAGCCAAATGTCAGCAGGATTGAAATTCCTTTTGAGAGCCACAGTTTCTAAACTTAAACTTATAATGTAACTTCTTCAAAACAGACTCGCCCAGGCCGTGGTATTTTGTGGAAGAGCCACACTCCAGGGGCCAAAGAGCCGCAGGATGCCAGCCACGGCCCTAAAGGGACCTGCGTGTGCGTCCAAAGACAAGCCGAAGCTGAGACGCGGGGCTTCTGCCCGAGGGGCAGCGAGCACGGAGGTGCCTGTGGGAGTCATTTCACTGTCACGCAGCCCGGTTTTTAGGGACGAAGGAGCTCGTCGGGGCCGAGAGAGACCCGAGTCCAGGACTCTGCCTCCGCGGCGGCTCCTGCCCACCCTCCTGCCCCGTCAGGAGAAGCCAGGTTCTCTGAGCAGGAGGCACCCGGCAGCGCTTCAGGCCATCGGAGCGCCTCCAGGCAGAGGGGCAGGTCCACCAAAGGCTCCGTCTGCGCACCCAGCGTCCGTTTTCCGCTCAGAATGGACGCTGCGCACGCCCAGATGGCGTCCCTCTGAGGAGTAAAGGCAGGGGCGGCTGCCCGGGCTGTGAGGGAGGCAGGTGTGGGGGCTGCATTTCCCAAATGTGGTTGCAACACCCTCTCCTGTCCCCGTGCCTCGGCGCCTATCCCTCCAGTTGTGGGGCCTACACCCCCACCCCCTCACCCTGAGCCTGGGTGGGCCTGGGTGGCAGCCTTGGCTGGGGGCAGAGGTGGAGGCGATGGCTAAGAAACTCACCCCAGGAAATGTGCGTTTTGGCTGCAACCCTCGACCCTCGACCCTCGGGGTGGCTCCCGCAGGAAGAACTGCCCAGGGAGGCAAGGGGTCCCGGTCCCTGAGCCCCGGGGACAGCCGGCCTCCCCCTGACCCTCGTGCTGCCCTTTGCTAGGTGGGAAGGACGTACCCCAGGGGGGCGTCTGTGTCCATCCCAGTGTGGCTGCAGGACGGGGGCAGCAGGGCTTGGGGGGGCCAGGTCTCCCCCGGGCTCTGCAGAGCATGCGGACCGAATTCCAGAAGCACCGCTGAGACTCCCGTGCCCGCCCGGCACTTCCCGGGCCCGCCCGGCACTTCCTGGGACATGGAGGGGCACGTCGCCCGGGCACCCTGTGGGCTGAGCGTGGGCCTGGCCGCGTCTCTATCGGGTCCCGGTGATGCCAGGCTGGTCCCGGGGGCACACGGGAGGGGCCGGCCTGGCCTCGGAGAGGGAGCACGGAGGCTGAGGCGCTGGGAGGGGCGGTCTGGCTGGGCACCAGCCTGTGCCTCTGAGCGGGACAGGGACGGGGCTCTGTGGCAGTGGCTGCATTTCTGGACTCGAGTGCCACCGTGTGGGGAGACGCTTTCCTCCTTCCTCCCCCTGAACCGGCTGGGTGGGCGTTTTTATTTCCTCCTGCCCTGCCGAGGCACGGCCCTGCCCAGCCGCGCTGAGCCCCCTACCGCAGCCCCCCTCCACCTGGTGAGCACCGGGGTAAGGGCCCCCTTCCCCGCCCGCTCAGAACGGCTCTGCACCCCACGTGCAGACCTAACCTCTCCCCCAAGGGCCTAGGGTAGGAACAGAGTCCCCAAGTCTCTGTAGAGCACCCCGCACCCTCCAGGCCACCCCAGGTGACGCGGAGCCCGCCGGCTGGGCCTCCTGCTCAGACCGCCGGCCCCTCCTACCCTCCGGCCCCGCTGACTCGGTGGCAGGAAGGGGTCCCCTCCTGGCGGGGAGCCCCTGCGCGGACCCCAACGCCCACATCAGACCAAGTCAGCGGACATCCTGAGCCTCCGTTTCCTCCTCCCAAACGTGGGGGCTCTGCCCATGCCCGGAGGGCCCAGCGGGGGGGCCGGAGGGCGGCTCAGGGGCAGGAGTCCGGTGCCTGTGGCCCCACGAGGAAGCCAGCGGCTCAGCACAGCGGGGCAGGAGGCAGAGGACCGGGCGAGTCACAGAGGCGGGCGTCCACTTTGCTTTATTTCTATCTTGTTCACACTATCTGTGGTCAGCCTCCCGTCCACACTGTGGTCAGCCTCCCCTTCACAGTCTGTGATCAGTCTCCCGTCCACACTGCCCTGTGGTCAGCCTCTCGTTCACACTATGGTCAGCCTCCTGTTCACACTGTCCTGTGGTCAGCCTCCCGTCCACACTGTGGTCAGCCTCCCGTTCACACTGTCTGTGGTCAGCCTCCCGTCCACACTGTCTGTGGTCAGCCTCCCGTCCACACTGTCCTGTGGTCAGCCTCCCGTCCACACTGTCTGTGGTCAGCCTCCCGTTCACACTGTGGTCAGCCTCCCCTTCACAGTCTGTGGTCAGCCTCCCGTCCACACTGCCCTGTGGTCAGCCTCTCGTTCACACTATGGTCAGCCTCCCGTTCACACTGTCCTGTGGTCAGCCTCCCGTCCACACTGTCTGTGGTCAACCTCCCATCCACACTGTCTGTGGTCAGCCTCCCCTTCACACTGCCCTGTGGTCAGCCTCTCGTTCACACTATGGTCAGCCTCCTGTCCACACTGTCTGTGGTCAGCCTCCCGTCCACACTGTCTGTGGTCAGCCTCCCCTTCACACTGCCCTGTGGTCAGCCTCCCGTTCACACTGCCCTGTGGTCAGCCTCCCGTTCACACTGCCCTGTGGTCAGCCTCCCGTTCACACTGCCCTGTGGTCAGCCTCCCGTTCACACTGTCCTGTGGTCAGCCTCCCCTTCACACTGCCCTGTGGTCAGCCTCCCGTTCACACTGCCCTGTGGTCAGCCTCCCGTCCACACTGTCTGTGGTCAACCTCCCATCCACACTGTCTGTGGTCAGCCTCCCCTTCACACTGCCCTGTGGTCAGCCTCTCGTTCACACTATGGTCAGCCTCCTGTCCACACTGTCTGTGGTCAGCCTCCCGTCCACACTGTCTGTGGTCAGCCTCCCGTCCACACTGTCTGTGGTCAGCCTCCCGTTCACACTGCCCTGTGGTCAGCCTCCCCTTCACACTGCCCTGTGGTCAGCCTCCCGTTCACACTGTCCTGTGGTCAGCCTCCCGTCCACACTGTCTGTGGTCAGCCTCCCCTTCACACTGTCCTGTGGTCAGCCTCCCCTTCACACTGTCCTGTGGTCAGCCTCCCCTTCACACTGTCTGTGGTCAGCCTCCCGTTCACACTATGGTCAGCCTCCCGTTCACACTGTCCGTGGTGAGCCTCCCGTTCACACTGTCCATGGTCAGCCTCCCGTTCACACTGCCCTGTAGTCAGCCTCCCGTTCACACTATGGTCAGCCTCCCGTTCACACTGTCCGTGGTCAGCCTCCCGTTCACACTGCCCTGTGGTCAGCCTCCCGTTCACACTGTCTGTGGTCAGCCTCCCGTTCACACTGTCTGTGGTCAGCCTCCCGTTCACACTGTCCGTGGTCAGCTTCCTGTGGGGAGACATGGACTCTGCTTGTGGCCGATACAAAGTGCCCCTCACGTGATATCACAGGAGAACAACTCGATGCAAGGACACGCCAAGGGCATGTTACGGGCCCACAAACAGGCGTGGCTGTTATGGGGAGACCCGCAAGAGACAACCACCAGACAGAGATGAAAATTCATGAGCCTTTAATAAGCTGACCAGTGACCACGGTCAAGGCCGGCTGCAGTGCCGACCTCAGGTGTCACAGCAGATTTACACTCAGAATCCACAAGAGGGGGTCAGGACAGTTACCAGGACAACCCAGAGGCTACAAACGCTATTTCAGCCGTTTCCAAGGAAGTCGGGGCACAGGTGCGACGCCAGGGCACGCTTGGCAGGAGCGTGAACCTCTACCTCCCTCCAAACTCCGACCGACCCATTGTTCAGTGACCCACTCCACCTCCCTCTGACCAGGTCACCCTGCCTCCAGGCAGTGGAGGAGCTGTGCAGTGTTTGAGCCCAGAACAAGGCGGAGGGAGGGGGAGACGGAAGGAAGGCGTCCCCCTGCCTGCTGCTCAGCACCAGCTGCTGTGGAATGGGGGGGAGGGTGCTGTCTCCCAGCGACCCACTGGCCAGGACGTCACAGCATCCCTGCCTGACCGGGCGCCGCTACGCCCCCCCCCCCCACAGCACCCAGGAACCGAGGGCCCACACTCGCACAGGTTGAGTCTAGCAAAGCCAGGCACCCTTCCTGGCTCCTCGCAGCCCACGTGGGCCAGCCCGGCGATGGGGAAGGCGTCAGGGCGGCTGGGCCCCGGGGGCTGCTCCTGAGCTGGCAGGGCGGCTGGGAAGGGCCTAGCTGTGCCCTGACCAACCAGATGCTGGGGTGTGGGAGGGGTGGGGCCTGGAGGCCCTTCTGTGCCCGAGGGGATGGGACCACCAACCACCTCGGCCATCAGGACAGGCCACCCAGTTCTCCAAACAGCACGTTGGCCCCGGGGGGTGCCCTGGGGGAGGACCCGGTGACTCTGCTGCTGCTGCTGCTGCGGGGTCCAGCCTCTTCACGGCTGCTCCGCCCCTCCCGTGTGCCTCCTCCTGTCACCTCCTCGTAGGATGGGGGCGGCTCCTGGATCACCAACTCCACGGCGGGCACCGGGGGCAAGTCATCGCTCTGCACCAGGAAGCCACTGTCACCACACACCGCGGGCGAGCGGCCCTCACGGAGCCCCTCCGGCCGGCCCGCTTGCTGGAGGTTCCCGGGACGAAGGGGACAAGGGACTTCCGTGGAGGTGGCCCGTGGCTCTCTCTCTCCCCCGACCCCCGTTCTTGAGAAGGGAGCGCGCTGGCCGGCTCCCCAGTGCAGGCGACTCCACTCAAGCCACGCACTGTCTGTCTGCTTCCCCAGTGGGGCTGGCAGACCCCAAGGTCCCTCCCGGCGGCCATTCTAGGAGCATGTCTAACGCTGAGAGCGTCCGAAGGAGGGCCACCCTGCTTCCAGCCCCGGGAGACCCCTTCAAACTGCCGATGCCAGACGCGCGGGGAAGCAGCTGTCCCGGGCACTGCGGGCTGGTGGCCGGGCCGGCAGCCGCCGGAGCTGGTGAGGGTCCACAGCGCCCAGCACGGACCCTGGCGAGGCGAGTGCCTTACGTAGGACCCGTCCCCCTAGTCCCTGTGGCGCCCGCCCCGGTGCCCTGAGGAGCAGGCTCCCCGCCAGGCGTGGGCAGTGACGGGAGGGACACGTGTCCGCTGGGCGTCCACAGAGCCCGCCACCTCCTGTCTGCGTCACGAGAAAGCCCGGGGGACGGAGGCACGGACAGGACACAGCCGGGATCCAGGACACACGTTTACCGTGTTCTGAGCTCGGCTGGTCACAGGGCACTTTTTCTCTAATAGAATGAGCCCAGCACGTCCTTCCGCTCAGGGCCGTGGGGCGGGCGGGCCCCACTTCCCAGCCTGCCGCGCTGCCCTTCACACGTGTGCTCTGGGCTTGGCTGTGGGCTGCACACGCCCGGGGTGAGGCCTGGACTTCCTCCCCAGCGGCTTGACCTTGGGGAGCCGCCGGACCCCTCTAAGCCTCAGCTTCCTCATCTGTAGGATGGGGGAGCAGGGAGGCTGCGGAATTCAGCTGAAGTTACGTGCTCCACCCCGTGAGCCCGCCACGGCCAAGCCCCACACCCGCCCAGCTCTCCCAGACGCCCCCTGCAGAGCCAGGCCCTCGCACACACTGTTCCACACTGCAGGTCCCTCTGGCATCATGGCCCAGTCCTGCCCCAAGGCCTCCCCCAGGCGGTCTCCCGCCTCCCGCGTGGGGAGCACCTCGGCCTGCTGCTCTGGAGCCCCTGGCTCTCCCACCTCTGCTGAGCGAATGCCTGGCTGAGAGTGAGAGACGCTCTCACACACCTCCCGGCCTGACGCCCCTCCTGAGCCCCCTCCTGGGTCCCTGTCCGTGAGGCCCTCACCTCCGCAGACTCGCTGCCCACGGCGGAGAAGACGGCCGTGACCCCGGGCAGTAAGAGCTCCAGCCAGGTGAGGCTGAACAGGACCTGCTGCAGCCTCTGGATGCGCACCTGAGGGGGGGGCGGGGGAGGCCTCACTGGGTGCCCCATCCAGCACAGGCAGGGCAGGGTCACCCAGCCAGCAGGGGGCAGGCCGGAGCCAGCAAGGTGGGCCTGGGGAGGGGGTCAGTCTCTGCTCTGCGCCCAGTGCCTGGTGCTCAGGGGTCCTGGGTGGAACGTGCCTAACGTGTGTGACTTCGGGGCCTTGGGCATGACCTTATTGCACCCCACTTAGAGGGGTGCTCAGGGCTGAGAGAGGAGGTGAAGCTTACAGGGTCCACATCTGAATGGGGGTGGCCTCGGTGGTGGGCGTGGTGCTGGCGGGAGAACAGGTTGGCCGAGGTCTCCCCCCCCACACTCTTTTCCCTTCCCCCCCTCCCAGCCGCACCCCAGGCAGCGCCTTCCTGGGTGCCTGAGGACCCCGGACGGGACACTCACTGTGCTGTTGGGGTATGGTCTCCAGATCGGGGGCCCACCCGGATTTGGTTTCTCCAGGAAGAGGTCCTTGGCCAGGACCCAGAGGCCGGCCAGCCCGCAGAGGAAGCTGAGGAGGTTGGCGATCAGGCACAGCGCCTTCTGTGGCGGGAAGCACGGTGGCAGCGTGACGAGGGGCCGGGCCTGGGCGGCTGGCGCTGTGGCCGTCTGTGGGCTAAAGACTGCCAGCCACCATGGCTTCCTCAGCCCCCCCACCCCCCCCCCCTGCACCCGGGAGGCTCCGGCTCCCACCTTCTCGGGGCCAGGCCTGGGGCCCGGGCTGCCTGCAGGCCCAAAGGCTTAGGCATAAAGGAGGTTCCCGCTGTGTCTCCCTCGCACAGCCCAGCCCCCAGCCTGGCCTCAGCTCTGCTCACCGATCAGGGACTCAACAGCCAGCCTCCTCCCCACAGGGAAGGGCTGGAGGGGTCCTCATCTCCCCCCCCCCCCCCCGCCCCCACATGGTCCCTGAGGTCCGCTGCTCATCACCGTCTTGGGAAGCGCTGTTCCCAGAGCAAAGGCCTGTCACGAGGAAGCGCATGAACACGGGGACCCCAACCTCCTGCAGAAGGGAGGTCTCCGGCTCGGGCTCCCTGGCTGGGGTATAGGAAGCGCAGGCCTTTGGTCCTGAGGTTCCCAGCCCAGGAAGGGGCGGGGCTTGGAGGGCCCCTCACGCCTCTGCCCTCCCCCATCGTAGTCAGGTAAACTGCACCCCCCCCTCTGCTCCCCGCACCCCGTGGGGGCGGGGCAGTCCCAGCCCAGGCCCGGGTGAGGGCTCACAGTGGACCAGCCGGGCTTTGGGGGCTTGGGGTGGACTGTGGCCATGGAGTAGGGGTGGGGGGGCCAGTCCTGAGCTGGTGTCTGCTCTGTGCCTGGACTCCCCCCCCCCGCGCCCCCCCAGGCTAGAAAGATGCTCAGGCACCTCGGTGTAGGAGAGGCAGTGTGGGGGGAGGGGGGCAGGAGCTTGGGCCTGCTCCTGGCAGGTTCTGGCCGCCGCCCCGGGCCCCTCACTCTCAGGGCCCCGGGCTGGGGGTGGGGGGAAGGGCTCAGGGCACCCACTTACCAGAGAGGTTTTCGAAACCTCCGCCACTGCTAACGCCAAGATCCCTGAAAGGAGGAACTGCCATAAGAGAGAAACAGTCCTAAGAGAGAAGCTGGGGTTCCTTGAAACCCACAAATTCCTTCCCTTCTCACTACTATTCTCTAGGAAACCCACGTGTGGCTGGCGGCCAGCGGTACAGAGAGCACCATCTCTCCGACTCCGGGAGCTCGCCCTGCCGGCTCCGGCCACGTGCCGTCCCAGGCCGCCCGCCAGCGGCTCTGCCCTCCGCACAGACCTCTGCACGGGGACGGGGGTCCAGCTGTGCCCTGCTCTCCAGACGCCTCCCGCCTCTCCACTCCCCAAGCCGTCCCTTGTGGGGGCAGCTCCTCCAGCCCCTCCCCTCGGACCCTCTCCCCTCCCTGGGTCTGAGGTGCCCTCTTCGTTTGCGGTCTCTGGTGTATTTTGCAATTACACTTTTCAGTGTTCGCTAGGCACCTACTGCGTGCCCACCCAGGGCCTAGGGGCAAATGGGCCCCGCGCACGGAGGCAGCCCCAACTCTGAAGCTTGGAGCAGAGCAGCACCGTGACCCCAAGTGGCAGGGGGTGGGGGCTGGGACACTGAGCAGGACTCCACCCAAGGACTCCCTGGAGCCAGGGACAGTGAGCTCTGCTCTCCTTTCCGTCCAGCCACGGGGCCTTGGGAAGGCAGGAGCCACGCCTACACCCTCGGGCTCCTGCAGACCCACCCGACAGAGACTGGGCTCCGGAGAGCGTGGCTGGAAGCCTTTGGGAGGTGGTAGGGCGCCTGCTCTCTGCCCTCCGTTAACTCGGCCTCCAGGGGAGAAGAGGGCGCTCACCCCTCACCCTCTTCTCCCCTGGAGGCCGAGTTAACGGAGGGCAGAGAGCAGAGCCTGCTGGGAATGGCTATTCAGGAGTGAGGAGGGCAGAGCAGAGAGGGACCCCAGCAGATGCTTCCTTTCTGAGCTCTCGGCCCCACCCACATCCCTGTCCCAGATGCCAGAGCCGGCCAAGCGTGGCTCCTACTCACGGAGGCAGGTCCCCAGAATGGGTACCAGGACTTCAGCGTCACCAGGTGGAGGTTCTTGCCTGAAAAGGCCAGGTAGCCCCCGAGGACCGCGTGCAGCACCCCGACGGCAATGTGGGAGGCCTGGCCCGGACGGAGCCTCGGTCAGGGGCCTGCCCCGGAGAGGCCGTCCGTGCCTGGCCCCGCTGCTCCCTCCGCCTGAGGGCCCTGGGTCTGCAGGGAAGGCCCACTCCTGGGGAGGCGGGTGGGTGTTGTGGAGGCGGCCACAGCGTTTGGACAGACTCGGGCCTCGGACTGATGAGAGGGCACGTGCAAGTGCCAGCCTGGAGGGCAGAGCCTCAGAGCACATTATAGCCAGCAGCCGCAGCTGTCAGCCTGACCTTGTGGTCCCAACCTGTAGCCCCTCATGGGCTTGACAGGGTTCCAGTGCCCGTAACTGCATAGATCCGAAACCCGAGAGAACGCAGTGAACACCTTGGCCACGCCCTTCCTTTGCCTGGCGGCATCGGCTATAAAATAAAGACTCGCTGGCAGGCCATGGCGCTACCGCTAGCTCTCCGTCAGAGCGGACAGCGTCCCCCCCAGACCCAGCTTTCTTCTCTGTCTGCCTCTTCTCCATCCTTCCCCGCGCCCTCTGAGGCCACCGAACCTGGCTGAGCTGCGCGGCGTCTACAGCACCCTGCATGGGGCTGAGTGTGCCATGGCTGTGCCGGCTCGGCACAGGTGGGGTTCAGGTAACCGTCCTCCCACCTGCGGCCACACTGGTGCCCGCCCAGCCCAGGCTTGGTGGGGGGAAGGAGGGAGGAGAGAAGGGGAGAGAGGAAATGTCTCCTGTTGGGGGGGCTTCCAGTGAGCCCCGAGCCAGACCGTGGTGCCAGCCCCGAGCTTCTCACCAGTTCTCAGTGTCTCCAATCATAGGATGTTACGCTGGGAAGGGCCTTCCTCCACCCTCGGGGCTCCCAGCACCCTCCCCTGTACACACACACACACACACACACACCACACGCTCCAGGGCCCAGGAAACGGACACTCACGCCCAGTGTGAGAAGGATGGCCCTCCGGTTCCAGTGCGGAGCCAGTTGGCAGAGCTCGGTGGCCTTTGGGCTTGGGCTGGGCTGGCCAGCTCGGGGGCCTTCTGCTGCCATGACTCCAGCGAGGGTCCCGCTGCCGGCCAGGGAGACAGGCAGAGAAAGGTCAGTCCGTGCCTGTCACCTCCGCCCGCCAGAACTGGGGCTGCCCCGCCCAGCAGCCCCTGGGCTTGATTTGACCTGGAATAATCTGGCCCCTGGGGGCGGGGTTTGCAAGGACACAGCTACTTCAGGGGCAGACAGACCCCCCTCCCCCAAAGACAGGCCTCGCCCCTCTGCCTGAGCCGGGGAACTCACCCTCTGGCCAAGCCGGGCAACTGTAAATCGTCCCTGCCTGCTGGGCCCGATCAGGCAAAGAAGGGCGGGGGGGTCAAATCCTTGTGCCTCCTGGATTTGGGGAGAGCAAGGACAGACGCTCCAGCCGAGGACCAGCTGTGAGCCGACTCAGAGCTGGGAAGTCAGTGTTTAACCCAGACAATAAGCCAGTATTTAAAAATGTGCCTTCTCCCCTTGGGGCACAACCAATTCCTTCCTCCACCCAATACCACAAATTCCTTCATTATCATGTTAATTGTTCCTGCACTCTCCGAAGTACACGTCCATCATTTCACTTTTTACCCAACCCAGGGGGTTCCCAGCTTTGCTTTCTCCCGCCTCCTTAATCCGTCACCAATGAATTTCATGTAACCCACCTATGTCCCTCCCTTGATTGCCATGTATAAATACAGATGTAACCCGCCCGCCATTCTCCGGAGCATCATCTCAATTCCTTGAGGTTCTGCTTCCCATCATATGTGGACAGTTTGGTTCAAATAAACACAAAAATTCTTTTTAAAAAATGTGCCTTCTCGGCTGCCGGCAGTGTGATCAGCATTTTACATTCATTATCAGACGTTATCCTGACCCCTGCTCCCCTTTTGTAAACGATGCTCAGAGAGGTTAAGCCACTTGCCCAAGGTCACACAGCGAGTAAATGACTAGGCAGACCAGCTCCAGAGCTTGTGGGCTTAAATCCTTCACGTACTGTTGCCTCCATGAGTGAACATGGATGTTCTGGCATTTCAGGGGCATGAGAAAGAGGGAGAACTCTGCAGGAGGCTGGAGCCACACTTGCTGAGGGGCCTGTTCATTACGTTGTATGTTTTATTGTTTGTTTTGGGTTTTTATAGTGTTTTTTGTTTGTTTGTTAATCCTCACCAGAGGATATTTTTCTGTTGATTTTTAGAGAGAGTGGGAGAGAAAGGGAAAGACAGAGAAACATCCCTGTGAGAAAAACATCGATTGGTTGCCTCCTGCATGAACCCCTAACAGGGCCCTGGCCGGGGAGGAACCTGCAACCGAGGTATGTGCCCTTGACCTGAATCAAACCTGGGACTCTTCGGTCCGCAGGCCGATGCTCTATCCACTGAGCCACACTGGCCAGGGCTGTGTTGTATGTTGATGACGGGTGTGCATCAGAATGTAAGAAGCTGAACTCTCTCTCCGGACAGGGGAGTGGGTGAGGGCCGGGGGAAGGAGAGGGCCTGGCTGTGGGGCTCTGGGCGGGAGCTGATTCTCCTGGGGCGGGACTGAGGAGGAGACCTGCAGGGAGCGGCTGCTCTTTCTTGCTGTAAAGAGGAGGGAGGGGCACATTCCCCGAGGTTTCAGTCCCCTCCGTGGGCGTGAGCGTGGGCGGCAGTCCTGTGTGAGCAGCCACGCTGGGCCTGCTCCTGCCGTGGAGGTGACGCTGGGCGGGTAGGAGCTTCGGAGGCCGAAGGGCAGGCCGCCTGGAGGACGAAACCCTGACCAGCCTGGGAAGGGACCGCTGAGAGCCAAAGCCCGGGCCTGAGGGCCGGCTCTCCGCTGGGCACGGTGCCTGACCGTGGTGCCTGGCAATGCGTCCCCTCTCATGCCCCAGCTCTCCGGTCCTCGGACTCGGCTGGGACCGAGGGAGGGAGCTGGTGGCAGAGACCCGCGTCAGTTACCACGGCTACGCCCAGACCAGGGGCCTGCGGGGGACAGAGCCGGCCCTCGGCCTGGATGCGACGGGACGTAGAGAGGAGGCAGACTTCTGGGCAGCGGGGTCTCGGGTGGCACAGTGTGTGCCCGGGCACGGAGGTGTGCCTCCGCCTGCCATTCGCGTCCCGGCGTTGTGGCAGCAGGATGTTCCACCAGGGAATAAGAGCCAAGAAGCCCTTTCTCAAAGTGTGTTCCAGGGAACACTGGTCCTGACAGATCGGCTGCCGAAGGGTTCCATGGTCAAATAAGTTTGGGAAACCCTGGATACCCTCTTCCCCCTCGTTAGCATATTAAAGGCCCTGAGAGTTCCTGCAGCGGAGACTCAATCAATAAGGGGATTTCCCAGACTTCCCTAGCCACGGACCCTTTCCCTGTGAGCCTCTCCTCAGGAATCTGTGGGGATCACGTTTGGCCGGAACTTACAGACGTCTGGTTGTGGATTTTTGTGTTGTTTTTTTTTGGGGGGGGGGGGGGCAGGAGTTGGAGCCCTTTTCGTTTTCTCTCGTGCCTGTCTCGGAGCGGGCAGGGACTGGACTGTGACCTCTAGGGTCACTTCCAAGTCTGTGATTCCCTCCGGGGAGAGCGAGCTGCTACACGTGGGGTGTGTGTGTGTGTGTGTGTGTGTGTGTGTGATGAGGGCAGGGCCTAGATAAGCAGAGGGGAAAGTCTGCCGGCCGTGGAGGAGCTGCGAACTCCGAGTCCCGAGGAGGTTTATGCCTCGGTGGGGCCCGGGGCTCCATGGGGGAACCTTTAGCCTTGACCCTCCCTGGTCCCTTCAGCCAGCTCAGGACCACAGGCCCAGCCCCGGGCGCCACCGAGACCACCACCAGGCCCACAAGCGGCCAGGCCCTGGCTCTGCTCTGTGGGCGGTGGCATCTCAGCATCGCGGGCTCCTCACTGCCCCCTGGGGCGCTGGTGCCACGCTGGGTGGGTGGGGCAGCGGCTGTGAGGACTGACTGGCACATGTCTGCCCCATGGCAGTGCCAGGCACAGTGCCGATGCTCAGTAATCCTTAGCCAGCGTCGCCACCGCCTGCTGCCAGCCTGGAGTCCTGCCAGCCAGGCCAGTCTTTGTCGGGTTGTCATCCTCCGGAGGGGTGACCACGGGGGAGGGGTTTGGGGGCTCCGGGCCCTGGACGCCGGGGAGGGTGCAGAGGGAGGCGGGCGCTGAGTGTGGAGAGCCAGTGGTGGAGGCCAGTTCTGCACCCCGAGAAAGCCTGGCAGAGGAGCCGTGACCTAGCCAGAGGCGGCGGAGGCCTGGAGGACAGGGAAACGGTGCACACGCCTGCGTGAGGATGTCCATGTGTGCACGCGTGTGCATGCAGGTCGAGCAGAGAGAGGCAGGAGTTGGGAGGTACCAAGTCACACCGTGTGACGGAGGGAAGAGTGGGGGACCAGGGACCCCTCAGGGGGTTGGGGTTCAGGAGATGCTCGTTAGAAACTAGCTGTGAGTCGGCCAAGCCAGCCTCCCGGAGTAGGGTGCTGGTGCAAAGACGGGTTCGCCTGCAGACGCAGGGCCCTGCGGGAAATGGAGGCCTCCCCTCCGGGTGCGAGAAGCCCGGAGGATCTGAACGCTGGGCACGACCCAGGCCCTCTCTGGGGCTCTGCTCCCTCAAACCTGCCTGTGTGTGGAGTGTGGGCCTGGACTGGAATGGCTGAGGTTCTCCCCTCCCCTCCCCACCCCACCCCGCCCTACCCCACCTCACCCACCCCACCCCCACTCCCACCGGCTGCAAGGAGCGCTGCCAGCAGGGTGGGGCTCTAGGTGGGAACCCGCTCAAACCCAGGTGCACACGCAGTCCGTGCCCCTCCGGTCCCGCCCCCCACCCCGGCTTCCCTGGTCCTCTTCCCGGGTGGACACCCATTTCCGGCCGCTGTGGCCCCTGTGGGGAGTGTCGGTCATACCCTTCCTTTCCCAAGCCCTGCACCTTGGCCCACGAAACCCCGCCTCCTGGCTTCACGGTGGGCGCGAGTCTGTGCGCCCTCACCTCAAGGGACCCACCTGGAGCGGGGGCGCTGGGACCACACCTGGCCTGGCTCCTGTCTCCGCCCGGTCCTGCTTCTCTCGAGAGCGCTCCCTCTCACCCAGGGACAAAGTCCTTGTCGCAGGCTCTGCTTCTAGAAAGCTGGCCAAGAGCCCTACTCCCCGCTGCGGGGCTAGCCACGCACCTCCTGGTCACCGCGCACCGCCCGCGCACCGCCCACCGCCCGCTCACCGCCCACCGCCCGGTCACCGCGCACCGCCCGCGCACCGCGCACCGCCCGCGCACCGCGCACCGCCCGCTCACCGCCCACCGCCCGCTCACCGCGCACCGCCCGCCGCCCGCGCACCGCGCACGCCCGCCCGCTCACCGCCCACCGCCCGCTCACCGCGCACCGCCCGCCGCCCGCGCACCGCGCACCGCCCGCTCACCGCCCACCGCCCGCTCACCGCGCACCGCCCGCCGCCCGCGCACCGCGCACCGCCCGCTCACCGCGCACCGCCCGCTCACCGCGCACCTCCGAGCTCCGGGCCCTCTGCGCCGGGCTCCACCTGCTCACGGAGCCGCGGAGGCTCGGCGGCTCCTTATAACCTTAGACTTTGGCTCTTTGCCCTCCGGCCGCACCTCCTGCTTCGACCCAGCGGTGTGAGCTGCCCACGTTTCTGCTCCCCCAGGCCCAGGCGGGTGAGAACCCTAGCACAGTGGTCGGCAAACTCATTAGCCCACAGAGCCAAATGTCAACAGCACAAGGATTGACATTTCTTTGGAGAGCCACATTTTTTAAACTTAAACTTCTTCTAACACCACTTCTTCAAAACACTAGGCCGTGGTGTTTTGTGGTATTTTGTGGAAGAGCCACACTCAAGGGGCCAAAGAGCCGCATGTGCTCTCGAGCCGTCGTTTGCCGACCACTGGCCTAGCAGGTTGCCTGTGGCAAGTCGAATGCCGGCTATTCAGCCCGTCCACAGAGCGGGCAGGCGGCGAAGGGTGGGGGAGAGGGGAGGGGGTTGGGGGTGTTCTTCCATGAGCAGAGAAGGGCCTTGGGAAAGACTTCATTCACTGTGGACATTTCAAACACGCACTCCAGTGGGACCCCACGCACTACCCCCAGCTCCGCGGTGCTCAGTTCCACGCCGATGGTGAAATGGGGGAGGGGGTGGGCAGGTCACTCGGCAAGTGATTTTCCGAAAGGCAACCCCACAGGCCTCACGTGTGGGGTAGGAGGGGGGTGGGGACGCCTCAGGCCCCACTTGGGCTGCGTGCGGAAAGCTGAGGCGGCTGTGCACGTTCCCTTCCCGAAACCAGGTCCCGTGGCATCGCTCGGGAAGAAGCGGGGAGCGCGGCAGGTTCTCTCTCGCTGCCTTTTCTTAGCCACCCGCTCAAACCCAGGTGCACGCAAACCGCAAAGCTGGGTCCTCGGTCTCCCACAAGTTCATCCTGAGAGCGCCGGCCCCGCTGACACCACCAGCCACCAGGGGGCAGCAGGGCTCCTGAGACCAGGCCTGGCCGCTCCGCTCATCTGGCTGGGGGTTGGGGGCTGCGGGCTGGGGCGGCCTCCCCCATATCCTAGGCCTCCCCAGGCCGGCTGGGGCACAGAAGAAAATGTGTCTCTCCTGGGGTCCCTCCTTCCTGCCAGGAAGGCCTCAGGGTGGCCTCTCCTCACCCAGGTCCCCTCAGGCCCCCTCCCACCCCCTAGACGCTGGTGCCTGCTCAGGACCCACACCCAGAGCTGGAAGTGTGTCCCCCTGTTGCCACGCCTGCTGCAGGGGGGCTGCCGGCCTGAGGCCCAGGCTGGGTGAGTGGAGGGGACTCCCACCCCAAAGAAAGACCCGGATCCCACCCAAGCCCGTCCCTGCCAGAGGCCCAGCACCCTGGCCCCTGGCCCGCCTCACCCTCCGGGCTCCCCTCGCCCCCTCGCCCATCCACCCGCCCCAAACCGTTTGCCACCCAGCCCTGGCACAGCACCCAGTCCGACACTCAGGATCCACTGAGGGGGGAGGGCACTCCCCTGCCCCCGCCTGGGTTCTCGCTGGCCGGGCCCTGATGGGCAGGTCGGCCCGCCCCCGCGGTGCCCTGCCCGGACACAAAAAGCCGGCCCGGCCACTCCGGAGGCACCTGTGCGGGCGCCATGAAGGGGAGCAGCACCCTCCTGCTGGCGGCCGCCGCCCTGCTCTGCACCTGCGGTGAGTGCGCTGCCCGGGGCCTCAGCACATTGGGGGTGGAGGTGGGGGGTGGCTAGGAAGCTAGAAACCCAGGGTGGACGGCGCCCACCTTCCCAGGACCCCAACCCCTCCTCCATCACAGAACAGACGTGGGCAACCACCGGGCCCTGTTAACTCCGTACCACCCAGCCCAGCCTGACCCTCCCCTCCCAGCCCAGGCCCACCGAGCTCGCACGGAGGAAGACGGGGGTGGGGGTGAGGCAGGGTCACTGTGGGGGACACGGGGCAGGGGAGGCGGAGACCTGAGGTGAGGGCGGCGCTGCCCCCACGTGCAGGGCTGGCCTTGGAGGAGGAGGACACCGCGTTCTTCATGGACTTCCTGCAAACGCTGCTGGTGGGGGACCCGGAGGAGCTCTACTCGGGGCCCCTGAGCAAGTACGACGTGAACCCGGCCTGCAGGGAGGCGCTGACCGAGCTCAAGTCCTGCATAGACAACCTGCAGCCCGCGCACAAGGCGGAGCTCATCAAGCTGCTGGTACTGCGGCCGGCCCTTCTCCCCAGCCTGCAGCCGCACCCCAGCCTGCTCACTGCCCACACCCCCCCCCCCCCACTTCCCCAGCGGCTAGCAGGGCCCCAGCGGCAGGGTGCCCGAGCCCTCCGCCCCACAGGGTGGCCTGCGCCCGTTTTCCCAGCGGCTCTCCAGTTACCCACCCGTGTCTGCCTTGCAGGTGGCTGTGCTGGGCTGAGGACGGCGCCTCGGGACCCGACATGGCCATGAGCAGCCCCGGGACCAGCTACATGAGCAGCTGTGGCCACGCCACCCACTGCCACTTCCCAGAGTGATTTTATCTGCCCCCCCCCCCCCCCGCCTCAATCAATAAACCTGCAGCCCAGGCCCTGGCTCCTGTCTCTGCCCACACTCAGGTTCTCTCTCTCTCTCTCTCTCACACACACACTCACACACACACACACACACGCCCACGCACACGCAGCTGCTCATACATGGGTTGCATGCATGAAGCATGTACTTGTAAGTGCTCCACACAGACAGCAGATCCCACGCCCCTCACCCTCAGGGAAATCTAGTCGGAGGCCCGTGGAGGCCGAAGGACCAAGCAAGATGGAAGGCAGGGAGGCCATGGGCAGGAGAAGGCGTGCAGCCGGCGGTGGGCGGGAACGGGCTTGGCGAGGGGAAGTGGCCAGGCTGGGAGGCTGGCTGGGGGGCCAGCAGGCAGGGAGGGGAGGTGACGGGCTGGGGGCCAGCTGGGGGGGCTAGGGCCGGGCTGGGAGACGGGCGGGTGGCAAGGGGAGGGGGCCGAGCTGGGGGGTGGCGAGGGGAGGTGGCCGGGCTGGGTGGGGCCAGTGGACAGTGAGGGGAGGTGGCCGGGCTGGGGGCTGGCTGGGGGGGCACTCGTTCTGAGCCAATAAGCACACGGTGAGCACAGGCCCGGGTCCAGGGGGCTGAGAGCAATCAGTCCCTAAAGTTGCTCAAGGGAAGGGTCTGGCAGACACCTCACTGGAGCCCCAGGAGGACCTGAGGGATGAAGGCAGGCCCCGGGGATGGGGGGAGGACCCCGAGGGGCCGCTGGCCAGCAGAGCTCCGGCACAGAGCTCCCTCCAGCACCCTGCCGCACCCTGCCGCACAGCCACCTCACGGGGGACCCCAGCCCCCCTGCCTGCGCCCGCTCAGCGAGTGCTCCTTGGCGGGGAGCACCGCTGGGCTGGGCGGGCGGGCGGGGTTCCTGTAACAGAAGCCATTGTCTGCATCACAGAGCCGCCATCAGAACCCGCCATCCCACAGAGCCACATTCTAGAGCTCGGGGGCCCCCCCCGACTCTCAAAGCCCCGGGTGGGAGAGGCGGAAGCCTCCCTCCACATGTCCCTCTTTCGGGACCTCCCTGACGCGGAGCGCGATGCAGCGGGACCGCCTCTGAGGCGGCGCCGTCCATAGGTTCCCGGAGCGCCGCACCTGGCCCAGGTGAGGGCCTCCCGGGCCGGCTCCCCAGCCCAGCCTCCGCCAGGAGCCCCCTCACCCTGCCCGGCCGGCCGGCACGCCCAGCACCCTGTGAGCTGTGGGCGGGAGGAGGCTGGCCAGACCCTGGAGCAGGGAGGGTGGCGGGGAGGCCTGAGGTGTCCCCGAGCTGCTGGCTGCCCTGGGCCCCGAGGCAGAGCAAACCCAGAAGCGTCCACTGTCCCAGGCATGGGCCCCGGCCCCGCCCTGCTGAGGATTGGGGGGTGGTTTGGGGGGCACAGGCAGGCACGGGGCGCGGCCTCCCAGCTGTGCTCTCCCTCCTCCGGACAGAGCCGGCCATGATGACGGAAGAAGTATGGGTGGGAAGCTGGCGGCCCCATCGTCCCCGGGGGCCCATCATGGCCCTCTACAGCAGCCCCGGCCCCAAGTACCTGATTCCACCCACCACAGGCAGGTGCCGGGCCCGGGAGGGGTGGGAGGACCAGCCAGTGTGGGGTGGGCCTGGGGAGGGATGGAAGGGATGGGGAAGGGCCTGGGGAGAAATAGGGAGGGTCTGGGGCTCCCCCTGACTCCCAGCATCAACCCCTCTGGGTTGGTAGGGTGGGGGCTGGGTGGGCTCCAGGCACTCAGCGTCCCCACCCACAGGCTTCGTGAAGCACACGCCCACCAAGCTGCGTGCACCCGCCTACAGCTTCCGCGGGGCCCCCCTGCTCCTGGCCGAGAACTGCTCCCCGGGGCCTCGCTACAGCGTGAACCCCAAGGTACTGAGGACTGGCAAGGACCTCGGCCCCGCCTTCTCCATCCTGGGGCGCTACCATACCAAGACCACGATGACCCCTGGACCCGGTGAGTGACAGGGGCCCAGGCTGGTCCAGCCCTGCAGCAGCCACTGCACCTGGAGCTGGAGCCGGAGCTGGAGCCGGAGCCGGAGCCGGAGCCGGGGAGGGAGGGAGCACCCCGTCCTGGCAGCCTGTGTGCCTTCTCCTCGGAGCTGCTGCTGACCGCCGGGCAGCCCTGACCGCCTGGCCCAGCGCTGACCCGGGCCTCCTGGGCCCCTGCCCCACCGCCAAGCCCCCTTTGCACTCGGGACACCTGTCACCATCCGTGTGGGGGCCCGAGGGCCCAGCGCCTACAAGGTCGGGGGTCATCCTGGCTCTCCCAACACCCCCTGCTCCTGTCCCCCCACAGGCGACTACTTTCCGGAGAAATCTACCAAGTATGTGTTCGACTCGGCGCCCAGCCACTCCATTTCTGCCCGGACCAGGACCTTCCGCGTGGACAGCACCCCAGGTCCGGCTGAGCAGGTGGCGGCCCGGTGGGGAGGGAGGTGGGCAGTCCAGGGCGGAGCCAGCAGAGACTCAGCACGGCACGCCCCCCTCCCCCAGGCCCTGCCGCCTACATGCTGCCCATGATGATGGGGCCCCAAACGGTTGGCAAGGCCTCCCAGCCCTCCTACTCCATCAAGGGCCGCAGCAAGCTGGGCGGCTTCAGCGACGACCTGCATAAGGCAAGGGGTGCCCGAGGGCCGTCTGACCCTCCCCCAGGACCCAGGACCCCCCTGACCCCACCCTCCTGAGGCGCCTCATCTCTGCATCCCCGGGGCATCGGCCACGGCCACCAGCCTGGGCTGCCTTCAAGGGCAGAAGAGGGCTGAGCAGCCAGGGGGTCTCCGGGGCCGTGGAGGGGCAGGCAGCTGGCAGGAGACGGGGAGGGCACTGAGCTGTGAGCATTGGGGCCCTGCTTCCAGCCCGCCCACCGGACAGGTCCCAGTGGGAAGTAGCCCCTCACGCTCACAGAGGGGATGAGCCAGGGCTGCCACAAGCTGGGGGTCACTGCCACCATGAGACTGAAATGGGGGGGGGGAGAGAAGGGGGAAGAAGACGGGGGAAAAGGGGAGGCAGGGGGACCCACAGCACTGGGGTTTCACTGCCACGGGGAACGCTGTGGAGACAGGAGGGCCCCTGACCCACATGCACAGTGACTCGAGGCCAGAAGCCCCCCAGCACTGGCCCTGGCTCTCTGGGGCGCCTGCCTTGGCAGCCAAGCCTGTCTGAGCCTCTCGCCTCCCAGACCCCAGGTCCTGCGGCCTACCACCAGACCGATGTGCAGGTGACCAAGTTCAAGGCTCCGCAGTACACCATTGCGGCCCGAGTGATGCCCCCGGGGGACAAGACCCTCAAGCCAGGACCAGGAGCCCACAGCCCTGAGAAGGTCTGGGCGGCCGAGAGGTGCAGGGAAAAGGGGTGGGGGGCAGGAGACCCGGAACAGACTGGCTGAGGTGGGAGATGGGCCTGTGGGTGGGGCTGGGATGCTGGCCCCTCACAGCTCCTCCTCCCCCAGGTGACAGTGACCAAGCCCTGCGCCCCCATCGTCACCTTCGGCATCAAACATTCTGACTACATGACCCCCCTGATCCTGCAGGTGGACTAGCCCGGGAGGGCAGGGATTGGGAGAACCCACGCACCCCGCCTGGCCCGCGGTGTGAAGCATGCTTGTTTGGACAATTATGACATTTTTCTATGCATCCCCCTTTGCTAATTGTGTGCCCACATATATAATAAATCATGGACTTGTTATGGACTTGTCTTGGGGTAGGGGCAGGCTGCGGTCTGGGCAGACAGGAGGGCTGGGGGCACACCTGCGCCTCTCCCACGTACCCTCCCCACCCTGGAGAAGGGGTCTGTTCCGTCCCTCAAATCTGCAGCGACCTCCCCGAAATGCTGCTTGGTGACTTCTGTGCCGGGCCACAGCACACGGACACACACCTGCCTGGACACCCCATCCCACCTTGCTCCCCTCAGCAACAGCACCAGGTTTCGGGGCACAGCCGCTGGGCAGCTGGCCCATCAGACCCTCCGCTCACCCAGCGCTGCCCTGCAGCTGTGGGACCAACCCCCCACCCGGTGACGCAGCCGGCCTGCGTCCAGGTGAGGCCCTGGCATCCTGGAGCAGACGCCTGTCCTGTCCCAGCCGCTGTGGGGCATAGGTTACTTTGATTTTTAGAAGTTATATTCTTTTCTTTTTCTTCTTATATTTTATTGATTTTTCACAGAGAGGAAGAGGGATAGAGAGTTAGAAACATCGATGAGAATCATCGATCAGCTGCCTCCTGCACAACCCCCACTGGGGATGTGCCCGCAACCAAGGTACATGCCTTTGACTGGAATCGAACCCAGGACCCTTCAGTCCGCAGGCTGACGCTCTATCCACTGAGCCAAACCGGTCCCGGCAGAAATTATATTCTTACTGACTTCACAGAGGGAGAGGAAGAGATAGCAATGATAATCACTGACCAGTTGCCTCCTGCACGCCCTCACTGGGGATCCAGCCCACAACCCGGGCACGTGGCCTGATCAGGAGCTATACAGCCGGGCTCACTGCGATTTGAATGACTACATTTCTGGTTTTTTTCAGACCTCACAGGAGGATGTTATTAACTTCAGAGGGAGAAACCTCACCAGCTGTCTTCTGTTTGCATGCTGACTGGGAACCAAACCCGTGACCTCCTGGTGTCTAGGGTTACACTCCAAGCCACCGAGCAATCGGGCCTTGGCTGAGTGATTTGGCAGGGTGCCATGTTGCCTCCCCTCCAGACAGGAAGCACAGGACAGGGATGGGGTCAAGCTCACTGGCTCCTAAGAGGCGAGACAGCCTCGCCCCGGGCTGAGTCCCAGATCCCTGGGCAGAGCATGTGTCTGAGGGAGGCCAGGGGCCTGGGAGCACCCCAGGGGAAGCTGCGGTCCAGCCCTAAGTGCCCACAGTGTACAAGGTCAGTCCATAGCGCCCTCTCAAGCCCAGGAAACAAGGCTGTTTACTCCACATTTTTATTGTCTTGTCCTGCAGTTGTGGGGGGAGCCTGGCAGTTCGTCCTCACGTGACACTGGCTGCTCTCAGAGCTGTGTTGGCACCCCCAACCCAAGCACAGCGTTAGGTGCTGTGCACATAGAACACCCGCAAGCCACCTACATGGAACCCACCCTCACACAAGAACAACAAGTCCCAACTCCAGGGTGGCTGAAGCCGTGAGGGGCCCAGGAGCACGGGCTCAGTGTCTGCAGGGCCAGGAGGCCTGGCAGGCAGCATGGTGACGTGCACAAGACCCCACGAGGGATCACTGGAAAGGAGCAGCGGCTGAGCCAGAGCCGCGGCGCCCGGGGTCTCAGGCAGGACCACAGGGCTGGGCCATCACGAGGGGAAGCTGCCCGAGACAGAGGGGGTTCGAGAGCATGCGCTGGAGGGTACAGAAGGCAGAGCAGAGCCCCTGGGACCCCCCTCCCTGGAGGCTGAGGGGCACAGCCAGATGCGCTGGAGGAGAGGACACTATGGTGACCGGGAGGACAGGCTAGGCCTGCTGGGGGAGGGGAGGAGCAGCGGAAGGCAGGTGTAAAGGCTGGAGATCAGAGCAGGGCAGGAGCCAACAGGCCCCGTGGGGTGACCGTGCAGGCAGGTGGACAGTGGCCAGCAGTCTGCCGGCAGTAATGGGAGTGACCGGAAGGCAGAGGTGGGGACAACAGCAGGGAAGGACAGAGCCAATAACTGGTTCTATGTGAGACAGGGCGCTGGGATCTTCCTGGAGTGAGAAGCCGCGGGCCTGGCCAGGCTGGGGTTTGGTTTGTGTGGACACAGGGCTGGCCAAGTGGGCAGTCAGGGCCCAAGGACAAGCCGTCAGGGGGACGAGGGCTGGCTCAGAGCTCCCTCACAGCACGGGGAAAGCCCTGGGGGAGGAAGGGCTGGCTTGGTGGTGAGGTAATCACCCAGGGACCTTTAAGAAATGACACAGGTCCTAGGAAGCCCTCGATCATGTGTACACGCTCGTGTCCGCACATGCACACGCTGCCCGACTCCGAATTACCAAAGGGCCCTGCTTCTAGAGCCCTGATCTCCAGGAAACATATCTTGGGTGGGTCCTCAATCCTGAGAAAATGTGGGTTCTACTGGATACATGGCTAAGAGATCCAGAAGGCTTGGGCCTGGGGTGCAGGGCTCCCAGCGAGGACTGCATTCCACTTCTTCATCCACACCAACTGCTCTTCCCCCAGCCTTGGGACTGGAGGGCAGGCCGAGGTCGAGGTCCAGGCCGAACGGGGGCCCTCGGCACCGCCACCCCCCCACCCCCACCCCACCGTGCTCGGCAGCCTGGGCAGCAGGAAATACCACCCTGGCTGGAGCCCATGTGGGGAAGATGGTGCTGATCTGAGGTTTGCAGCCTCACCCGTTTCCCACGTCAGATCCAGCCCTAGAGAGCAGACTTGGCCTTTCCCAGGCAAGGCGGGGGCAGAGGAGCCTTGAGATGTCGGAGCCGAGAGCTGGGGAAGGGCTGCGGGCCATAGGCAGCCACGTCCAGGGCTCCCGGCTGCTCTGCTTCCATGAGGCTGCCAATGCCGCGAGCACCGAGGGCCCCCGCACCAGCCACACAGCTCAGATCGGAGGCAGCGTCTCCCAGCCACACGGGAGGAGATCTAAGCCATGGTCACCGTTTCAAAGCAGTATTTGGTAGCAGGTCCTCTGCAGCCAGACACCAGGCAGGGGACCCTGGTTGCCCCAGGCACCCGCACCGCCAGCTGTGCTGGCTCACGTCCTTGCTCTGGACAGGAGGTAGGAGAGGATGAAGAAGACCACGATCAGGCCCCCGGCCACGCCACACAGCAGCTTCCGGTTGTCTCGCCCAGACCGCGCCATCGTGGAGAAGCGCTTCACGCTGCCCGTGAGCAGGCCTGTTGTGCTCAGGAAGTCCGAGCCCTGAGGGGGGAACACGCCGGTCACACAGGTAGAGCCCCCAGCCCCCAGGGCTGCCCAGCGGCAGAGAGCAGGGCTGACCCTTACCATGCCATCCAGGTACCGGTTCTGGTCCTCCGTGTCCCTATCGATGTCCAGGGCCAGCTGGTGAGGACACAGAGGGCGCAGGGTCACGCCCACTGCACAGGACCTGACCTCCCACAAGACCGACAGACCCGGCTACCACCAGGGTCAGGTCCAGGTGCCCATGAAACCCTTCGAGGCCTCTCCCCGCTCTGGCCCCAACTCCAGGAGACTGCCACTGACCGCTTTGAGCCGGGTGACCTTGGAGGCCAGGCTGTCAGCCATCCGCATGTTCTCATGGTCTAGAATCTCCTCCACGGCCCCGGAGCTCTGAGCTGCAGGAAGAGAGAGGCTGAGGGGGCACGCCCACGGCCCTGGCCCCCTGCGTGGCGGCCCTGTGTGGCCTCAGAGTTTCGCTACAATCCCATCTGTCCAGGTCTGATGGGGGTGGGGGGCTGTGCCCGCTCCTGTGGGTTGAACAGGTCCAGCCCTAGCCCAGGGCCTGGTGCCTGGACTTCACACCCCGGGAAAGGTGGCGTGAGCACCTGTCACGGGAGCACCTGTCCCACCTACATGTCCAGGCCGGGGTAGGCAGGCACCCCCCAGTGTACAAGCCCAAACGGTCGGATGCAGAGGTCTGTGTCCGCTCCACGGGCACCACCCTCCGTGGGCGTGAGTCCGGTTCTGGGTGCACAGTAACTGCCTGTGTGGGGTAGGAAGGCAAGAGGAGCGACAGGGCCAGCGGCAGGGCCTTTGCAGGGACCACCTGTGAATTGATGCTGAAGAAACTAAGAGTAACAGGGAGGAAATCACTCAGAGATGCCCCCCAACAACAAAGGGGGACAAAGTCTGTCGAGGGCAAGGCCTCGATGCTTGCCCCGCAGCCCACCAGGGCCCAGGATGAGCACGGCGCCTCAAACGCCTCAACGTGACCCAGCTGCGGGGGCGCGGCCGGGAACCGTCCATGTGTCCACGCCCCAGGGAGGCGTGTGCGCGTCCTGCTGCCACTCACGGTCACGAACCCACTCTGGTCAAGGCAGCTCAGCGACATCCCACTGCGCAGGTGCGAACAGGGTTCCCGGAGGAAATGAAGTGCCCGGACCCCATTAGCTATGAGGCCGGCTTCGGCGCCGCCTCCGGGGCCCGGAGCAGAGGGCCCGGCCCCGCCCGCCCCCCAGGCTCCCCGCGAGGCCCCCCAGGGCGGCTCCGGACAGTGGCGTCCGTCTGGCTGACCCGCGCCACCGGCCCCGCTCCCCGCACTCACCGCGAGTCCAGTCCGCCATCGCGCCGCCCGGCCTGCACCTGGTCCCGGTCCCGGTCCCGGTCTCGACCCCGACCCCGACCCGACCCGCCGCTGCCTCCCGCGACGTGGCAACGTCACGCGAGTGCGCTTCCGGCACGCCCCTTCCGGCCCCGACGTCAACTTCCGCTCGAAGGGTGGGGCGGCGCCGGGAAAGGAAGTGACCGGACGGGGAGGGCGGTGCGCGCCTGCGCTCAGCGGGGGAGGGGCGGGGGATGGTGGTGGTGGGGTGTGTGCTCAGTGCGCCTGCGCTCAGCTGGTGGTGGTGGTGGGGGGGTGCTCAGTGCGCCTGCGCTCAGCTTGGGGGGGCGGTGTGCTCAGTGCGGGCCTTGGGGCCGGCACGACCGACGCATGACAAGAAGCGGGGTTGGTGCTTGTTGTGGGTCCCCGCGCACCGCGGTGGGGCACTGGCTGTGTCGTGACACCTCGGCCCACCCGTCGGAACGGGACGTTCTATCGCCTCTGTCCGTCCAGAGGGTGGACTGTGTCCTCCCCAACGCGGTCTGCCTCCGCGCTGCCCCCGCCCTCGGCCAGGCTGCCACGCCCTCCGCCCACCCTCAGAGCCCGCGCGGGGCCGGCCCGCAACCCCCGGAGCAGTCACACTGTCCAGCCCAAGAGCAACTCCGGCCCCGAGTCACAGTCACAGTCACAGTCACCGCGGACTCCACGGCAAAGCTTTTCGCTCCCAAGTCTCCCCGCCTTAGGGTGCGCGCACGCCCCGCCCCCGCAGCCCAGGCACCGCCCCGCCGCGCCGCGCCCGCGGGACCTGGGCGGGGCGGGTGGACTGGGGCCCGGAACCGCGGAGGCAGCCCCTCCCGCCTTCCCGGCTCCGGCTGCCCCGGCTGTCATGGAGCCCCGAGCGGTTGCGGATGCCCTGGAGACGGGGGAGGAGGACGTGGTCATGGAGGCTCTGCGCGTGTACAACCGCGAGGTGAGCGGGCCGTGGACGTGGGACGTGCGAGGCGGAGAGGACAGGGTGGGGCTCGCGCGTGATCGGCGGAATGCGGGAGTGGGACTGGGAGCGTGCGCGGCGGACGGGCGGGGCTTCGGGGCGAGGCCGCTGCGCACCTGGCGCAGGTGTGTGAGGTGGGGCCCCACCTCCGAGCGGTGCCTGCGGCCTGCGCCCTGAGCCCCGTCCCTCCGCAGAACTCCCAGAGCTTCACGTTCGATGCTGCCCAGCAGGCGGACAGGCAGGTGCGTGCTGACCGCGAGGCGGGGGTGGGGATGGGGGAACAGGCCGGGCGGCTCCTGGGGGTGGGGAGGGCTTGGTGGAGCCGCTGTCCTCTCCCCGCAGAGACTGGCGGAGCTGCTGGTTTCGGTCATGGAGCAGGGCTTGCCCCCCTCCCGCCGGGCCACCTGGCTGCAGAGCATCCGCATCCTGTCCAGGGACCGCAGCTGCCTGGACGCCTTCACCGGCCGCCAGAGCCTGCAGGCCCTTGCGGGCTATGCCGGCGTCTCCGAGGGGGCGGCCCCCGGGCCTCTGGACATGGACGTTGTCCTCGAGTCCCTCAAGTGCCTGTGCAACCTGGTGCTCAGCAGCCCCCAGGCACAGGCGCTGGCGGCAGAGGCTCGCCTGGTGGTGAGGCTCGCCCAGCGCGTGGGGCTGCACGGGGAGAGCGGCTTCCCCCACGAGGTCCAGCTCTTTGACCTGCGCCTCCTGTTCTTGCTCACGGCCCTGCGGCCGGAGGTGCGCCGGCAGCTGTTTCAGGAGCTGCAAGGCGTGCCCCTGCTCACGGAGGCCCTGCAGCGGACCCTGGGGGTGACCCCGGGACAGAGCCCCCCAGAGCGCCTTCCTCCCCAGCAGACCGAGCGGGCCATGGAGGCCCTCAAGGTGCTCTTCAACATCACTTTCGACTCCGTCCGGAGGGAAGTGGACGAGGTGAGGGCTGCCCCGCACCCGTGGCTGGTGCCTCCTGGGCCTGCCTCCCTGAGGGGCGCCCTAATGTGTCGGGCGTCAGGCTGGGACAGGACGCTCAAGGGGGTGTCCGTTCTGGGCAGCGGCAGCAAGGGAGGCTCCTGAGGGCGGTGGAGGCTGGGTGGTGAGAGACTGAGGGCAACTTCCCTACACAGTGTGGTGTCATCCAAGGGACCCGTTGCCATTCCTAATTGGGGGGAGGGGGGCATCAGAGGAGACGGGTAGTCAGCAGGCGGGGCCCAGGCAGCAGGACTCGCTGGCGGCAGGGGTCAGGTTGGCTCTGCCACAGGAGCCCTTCTCTCTGTCAGGACGACGCTGCTCTGTACCGGCGCCTGGGGACTCTGCTGCGGCACTGTGTGATGGCGGCTGCGGGGGACCGCACGGAGGAGCTCCACGGGTGAGGCGGCCCCTCGTGCTGGAGGGAGCACCCACATCCCTCTGGGTGGGACCAGCGTCAGGTGTTGTCAGAGCGCTGGGCCAGGAGCCGGGGGAGGCGCGGGTGGGGCAGGGCGGGCAGCGGAAGGCAGGTGTCTGAGGGCTGTGCTTACTCGCCCCTTTTCTCCGTGACCAGAGCTCAGGCAGGTGTGGCTTTCTGGAGATCGCCTAGGGTGCCTCAGCCCAAACTGGGTGGCAGGCGGGGCGCCCTTCCCACCCCGAGCGCTCCCCTGAGACCAGTCCCCCTTCAGCTCCAGCCCGTGTCACTCCTTAGTCCCCTGGTTGCTGGCTCGTGTCACATGTAGCCACAGCGGCTGCACCGAGAGCTGAGCTGCTGGACTTACCCACTCCCCTCCCTCTGTCCCCAGCCACGCAGTGAACCTGCTGGGGAACCTGCCCGTCAAGTGTCTGGATGTCCTGCTGGCCCTGGAGCCGCGCAAAGGCTCCCTGGAGTTCCTGGGCGTGAACATGGACGTGATGGGCGCCCTCCTCGGCTTCCTGGAGAAGCGCCTGCTCCAGGTGGGCGGGGACCTGCCTGCGGGCTGCCTGGGGCCTGCTTCCCGCTGGCTGGGGAGGTCAGTGCAGGGCCCTTGTGCTCTAGAGTCTGAGGGCCCGGGCCTCGGGCTCAGTGTCACTGTGCACAGACTTCCCTTGCGGACCAGCACCAGCTGTCCCTGACCCACAGGAACCCCGGGCCAGAGGCTCCTGAGGCCTCAGCTGCCCGACACCGGCCGGCGGGCTCTCACTGGCCCCCTGGGAGCTACCAGGTGCTGTGGGGCCGCAGAGCCAGACAGAGGGTCAGTGGGTCCCTCGGAATCCACGTCACCCACGTGCACGGAGAGCTGGCATTGGACATGGCCGTGACACCTGTCCCTGTCGCTGCCGCTGCTGGTGTTGGGGTCCAGGGAGGTACCCAGGCAGCAGTGCAGGGCTGCGGGGGCTCCCTGCAGAGTAGGGGGTTTGTTCTTGCTCCCTGGCCACCATCTTCTGAGGGCGACTTGGGGCCAGTGGTGTCCTAACAGCGTGAAAGTTGTTTCCCCACAACCTGGCTTGTGGGCGAGGTGGTTGGACTCAGAGAGCCGAGCCACAGAGCACACGTGAGGCCCGGGAGTTCCACCCGGGCCCTCGGAGCGGGCACCCTCCCGAGCGCCTCCTGCCAGGCCGTGTGGTGCGGGTGGCCCGGCCTGGCGTCGGGCACCGCCTCACCGCCGCTCCTCTGCAGACGCACCGGCTGAAGGAGGGCGTGGCCCCCGTGCTGAGCGTGCTGACCGAGTGTGCCCGCCTGCACCGCCCTGCCCGCAAGTTCCTGAAGGCCCAGGTATGGCGGGGGCCGGGCGGCCCTGGTCCCCCCGCCCTGCGGGCCAGGCTGACGGCTGTGCCCCCAGGTGCTGCCGCCGCTGAGGGACGTGAAGACGCGGCCCGAGGTGGGGGAGCAGCTGCGGAACAAGCTGGTCCGCCTCATGACGCACCTGGACACGGACGTGAAGAGGGTGGCCGCTGAGTTCCTGTTCGTCCTGTGCTCGGAGAGCGGTGAGTGTGGCGGCGCCCTGCCCCCAGCCCCCTGCCCCGTGCCCCGTGCGCACGCTGACCCCGCCCGCCTCGGCCTCCGCAGTGCCCCGCTTCATCAAGTACACAGGCTACGGGAACGCCGCCGGCCTCCTGGCCGCCCGGGGCCTCATGGCCGGGGGCCGGCCTGAGGGCCAGTACTCGGAGGACGAGGACACGGACACAGAGGAGTACAAGGAGGCCAAGGCCAGGTGTGTCTGCGCACCCTCGGGCTCCCCACCATCTGGGCCCTGGGGGCGGGGATGGGGTGGACTCTGAGCCCGGCCCTGTCCCTGGGTGACACGGGTCCTGACTCCCAGTGTTTCGCTGAGAACAGAGGAAAGGGGCCGGGCATCTGGGGGACCAGCTCGAGGGAGGAGCTGCTTGACCGCAGCCCTCAGGGCCTGGGACTCAGTGCATCCCCCACGCCCCCTCCCCGGAAGCAGCATCAACCCGGTGACCGGGAGGGTGGAGGAGAAGCCGCCCAACCCCATGGAGGGCATGACAGAGGAGCAGAAGGAGCACGAGGCCATGAAGCTGGTGACCATGTTCGACCGGCTCTCCAGGTGCGGTCCGAGCGGGGGGGTCCTGCAGGAGGGCCACATCCTGTCCCGAGGCAGGAGGTGGGGCCAGAGGCGGGGCCAGGGGCGGCCTAGGGTCCTGGTGAGTCTGTGTTACTCGTGTTTGCAATCACCTGTTCTGGATCAGTGATTAGAGTTGCGGTCAACATTGTCTTCTTCTTTATATGTTTTTATTGACTTTAGAGAAAAAGGGAGAGGGAGAGAGAGAAACATCAACAATCAAAGAGAATCATCGATCGGCTGCCTCCCGCAGGCCCCACACTGGGGATGGAACCCTCAACCTGGGCACGTGCCCTTGACTGGAATCGAACCCAGGACCCTTCAGTTCATAGACCAACGCTCTACTGAGCCACACAGGCCAGGTGCATTATGTCCTTTTTACAGATGACGGGAGCCGAGGCCCAGGAAAACTAAGCCTGCCTCAGGCGTCCAGGCCACTGGCAGCAGTGAGGGTTTGGGCCTGGCTGGCTGTGAGCGGGCAGCCTGGGGGGCAAAGGCGCCACCAGAGCGGGACGCCCGCCCACCACCCCTCTCCCTACAGGCACCGCGTCATCCAGCCCATGGGGGTGAGTCCCCGGGGCCAGCTCACCACCCTGCAGGATGCCGTGTGCGAGAG